TACGCAGAGATGTATTGGTCGGCGTAAGGAAAGCTGTTACCCAGATCAAGCCAATGATCCCTCCTTTCTTGCCAGCAGCAATGCGTTCAGCTTTACTCAGGCCATTAGCCGCAGCACCTGCTGGACAACCACCATATGAGTGTGCAACGAGGACAATGTCTTTGCCAGCATCCAAGAGGGGCGTAAGGATTTGGTCAACAATAAAGTGAGAATCTCTCTCGCTGGTCGTAGTACTTGGAGTTGCTGCATCCACGCTTGGGAGTTGCTTTGAGACTGTTGGGTAGCCTTCTGCCTGGAGAAAGGAGATGAAAGTATCGAAATGGACTGGTGTGTGATAGGCTCCTGGAACAATGGCAACAGTGGTCTTAGAGGCCATGATGACGAAAACAAGAGAACAAAGAGTGTTAAGAAGCCGTTCAAGAATTACTGGAGTATATCAGTTATCAGCCATCTCGGCTCGCCCCGCCTTTCGGGAACGACGGCACGGGGAGGGGTATACTCGAGTAGTAGATGTTTCAACTTTGCCCCATAATTTCTCCCAAGGGCCTAGGTCCTCCCCCGGGCCCCTTCCCTTCATGAATACTCCCTCTTTCCTGGAAAAACCACTGCTAAAGAAAGCCTCAGACACTAACGCAACATTCAATTCGACCCGACTCCCCGCAAACGAAGTTTCACACCGTTGTTCAATAACAACACCTTTCGCTCTAGTGCTGGACACTGATACACTACGGAGTAAGCTCCACATGCCAAGCATACAGAGTACAAGGTACTTGTCATGAAGTCTGAGATTGACATACTCCAGAGTGGGTTAAAAACCCTTGAAGTTTTTAAAAATGTACATAAGACCACCCCTTGATTATTAGTCCTAAAAGAATGACTGCATCTCCTCGCATTCAAATCCTGGAAATGGCCATCATTGAAAAAGTTTTAACTTACTATAAGTTCACATACCACCCACTCACTTACACATTAGGACTTGAAATATTAGTTGAATTTATGTATGTATGTATTACTAACGATATTGCATACGGGTAAAGAAACCAATCTTACTAGAAAATGACGAACTCACCATTCTCTGATAATATCATGAGAAGAGCCTAAACCAGACTCGAAGACAAGATCAAGAATTACGTAGCTCTCGCCGTAGCTGGCGTAAGTTACTAGGGCGAGTAGTGGAAGGTCTTCTATTCCGCCAATCCGAAAAGTCATCTTCCGAGCCCGAGTCGTCGGAGTCAAACTCGACGAGCTCCAGCACCAAACGCATGTTCCCCTCATTCCCGTCTCTGGCGGGAGAATAATCTACGAGTTGCCACTGTCCATTTCTCATACGTTCTTCCTCCTCTGCTGTTGGTATTTCAGGCGAAGAGTGGGGGGAGTATGCTATGCTGGAGCCGTCGCTGTCGGGCTCGTCGTGGGGGAAGTTTTCCCCAAGCCCCCGAAATAAATCGTACATGCTGGTAGTTGGGGGCGACGTTTGGACAGGGGGCATTACTGTTCCCCTGTCTTGCAATAGCTGTTCTTCCTCTCTGTTGATGCGATCTGAACTCCCTTGGCGTAGGCGTAAAAGGGCTTCTTCAGCTCCAGTTTCTGATGCGCTGGTTTGCTGTACAGAGGGAAAGGGAATATGTGGTGCGGGCCGAACTGCTACTACTGTGTTTGGCACCTGTGGCAAGAGACTGTTTTCATACGGGCGGCGGAATGTGCCGAGGATTCCCGTGGGATTTCCTGTGAGAGGACCGAATATTCTAGCAGAGATTTCCATTGCTGCGTCTGCCTGCGGGCTAAGGCTGGGTAAAGGGGGGAAATCGTTCCCGGAGTTGAAATCGAAGTCTGGCAGGGACAGTTGCTGCCTATTATTGTCGGGCTCGTCCCTCGATCTCCAACCTCTGGCCGCACTCATCAAATCTGACCTTTCTGCGTCCGAATATGGAGAATTTGCGGGAGCACTATTGTTGTTAGGCTGGTCTCTCAACATACCCGCATCCAGCAAATCTGACCATTCTGCGTCTGAAAATGGGACACCCGTTGGAGCGCTATTGTTGTTAGGCTCGTCCCTCAAGATTCCAACACCCAGCAAATTTGACAATTGTGTATTCCGATCGCTCTGGCTCTGGTGTATGATTGAAGCTTGAATTGGTAGTGTTACGGGCCTGTGCATGCCGTTAGCTAGCTCATTCAAGAAGACTATCAGTTCTCTTCGTGTTGCGTCGTCCTTGATCCATGATGATGGGCGAGTACGCACAATGAGGTTGTGAGGTCGGGTGAACTCATTAATGTCCTCTTGAGACATTGTTTTATTGAAGAATCTGCGGTCTGCTTCGGAATGTTGCTTCCGAGACGCTTCAAAAGCTGTGCGCTGTCCTGGGCTTGCAACAATTTTTATGTAGCCAGCATACGTTTCAATCATATGCCGGTAGTTGGAGTGACCGCTGTAAGAACGTTGAGCACAAACCCATGCCGCACAGGAGAGTGTTCGGAGGCAACCTGGTCGCACTTCAGGGAAGAAATCGTAGGGCCTGTTATGAATTATCGTCCGAATATCACGGAAACTCGTTCGCTCCAATGTTGTTCCATTCATCCGGAGGCATGATTGCTCATAGTGGTCTAGATCTCGTTCTAGGGCTGCTTCGGGGGAGAGTTGTGGTTCGGAGACGTCCTGTGAGGCATCTGCTTTAGATGTCCATTCGAAGAAGGATATTGTCGGATGAAAATCTATAATAGCGTGCATGACCGGAGGGACGAGAGGCGTGTTAGAAGCATGATACTCTGATGGAAGAATATTAAGGAAATAAAATGCTCTGTCCACTTCGGTGGCGTACCTATGTTCAGACGTGATTTGCGCTTGCCTCCGAAGGCATTCGTCGAAAAGCTGTGGCCGAATGGCGGCATAGGGATCTTGAGGATTTGCCTGGGCCTCGAGATTGAAGTGATTTCGAATTGTGCTGATCACTGTGCGCGTGCGTGACAGACTCCTATCCATCGTGAAAGGATGAAGTCGAGACCCTCGATTGAAGAGACACAAGTTTCTATCCGAAGAATGATCTCCGCCGCAGTGTCTACACTCGAGGTCCTCGTCACATTGAGGAAATAGTCGTTCTCCTCGAAAATATTCCAATAAGCCTTTGGCTCTTCTTGCATCATGGGCAAATCTTCGATCGTTCCGACGTTGTGCTCGACGTCTTCGTAATATGCATGATCTGCATCGTTGAGGAGACGTTATTCGTGCCCCCCAAATTTGCCCACCACAATCAATGTCACACTGGCCGCCGGGTAAAATCCGATTTCTTTGATTTCCACAAGCGTACGTGATAATGAATCCGTTACACATCTTTGAAGTTGAGGTATTGGTGATTTGATGGTCGAATGTCTTGCTTAGTGTTTGCGTGATGTGTTTTGGGAGAAGATTGGAAACTCAATATACTATAGATCTTATACCTTAGACTATGGTATTGTTCTGTGAGCCTTACTCTTTCACGACAGTATAAAGAAAATGTTTAAACAATAGCGTTGTTCTGAATATTGAGTGGGGGAAACAAACTTTACGTCAAAACTACTCTGGTATGTAATTCATCTTCTCACAAGGAATAAAATAGGAATGAGGGCGCATTTGTCCGGACCTCCTTGGTTGTAGTCTTCTCGACGATTCTGAAAGCTATTAGGTATCATCCTAAGAGCTTTCGACACACTAGGACATGAATGATGAATTTGATGACCTAGCCTGGAAGATGCGATTAAACCTGGCTGACAATAAGAAAAACACCAAAGAGAAAACAGCTCAGAAAGTTTAAGACAGGGGTCAATTCTCAAAACGCTGCGCCAATGTTTCAAGCAATTGCATAGATGTTATATAAGCGCTACAACAGCAGACATGAATAATTAGAGGCCCTCGACTTCTGAACCAACGATGTGATGAATGACAATACCACCTTATGCGGTTAAAGAGGACTCTGGACTTATTTCAAAAACCGCGAATTCCGGGGAGTGGCGAGACGCAATATTTGACGATGGTCTCAACAAGAAAAGACTGGCAGCTAGCGGTAGTAAACATAAAGACAGAATGGCAGGTACGATTAGTAGACTTCAATACAAAGGGAAAATTAAGAGGGAAAACGGGTCTGCTGAGCAGTAAAAGCTCTGCCAAAAAAGCCCAGGAAAATCGACACGGTCAGGGACGAAGACAAATGAAACCCAACAATTTGCTCTAATCCCAACAATGTCTCCTTGTGACTACGCGCTTATGCCTTTGTGATCTGGCTTGTTCTTGGGCAAGAAACAGAGACTGACCAATTTTGAAACAACGAGGCGTTTGCTTCCGAGCGTGTGAAGGAGGGCTGCAAGTAGGTGTCTCCGAGGGGTGTTTGTAGCACAGCGGATCGCCATAACCCTCACTTGAACATCCATCCTCAAGTGACTTGAACAATACAAAATAAGTCGTTGGACAGTCTTAATTCATGGCAATTCACTTCTTTGATTGATCCACTTCAGCTTTGCTGGTAGTGAATTTATTCCGGTTGAGCGATGACTTGACATAACACGCTGTTGGGTTCTTTGCTTCATCTCTTTAACCTACAAAAGAATAAACCAAGCCAGCGACAGCTCGATCCACAAATATTTAAAGGTAGGAATCGTCTTTTTCTTGCTTGTTTTGCTCTTAGAATGTAGATTCATCGACGTTATGGCAAATTGTTTACTCGCAAACCTTCGCTGCACCCGCGCGACCTTTGCCAATTGTTCACCAAGCTTTCGTTACCCCAAAGCCTCCTTCCTTATTATGTCCTGCCCTGTCCATCGTTAACGAACTCGATGTAGAACCAACAGAACGCACTTGCGCAACTCAGGACAAGACAAGTAGATGTAAAACACCAAAGACAGCAAAGACAGTAAGGCGTTCTCCCTTCTTCCCGTGGAGTCGTATGCTAGCATCTAATCCGTTCGTAGTCATTCGACCCATTCCGCCACACACCAAATTTAAATCTTCCGCCCTCAAACCACTTGACACAATGTCCACCAACGGCAGCTCCGCTCCCGAATCGCCCACCGCTGCCCCGGTCGAGGAGCCAAAGCCAAAACTCCAAGCGATAGAAGTCAAAGTCAAGGACCAGCACGGCAACGAACTCACCTTTAAGATCAAGAAAACCACACCATTGGAAAAGGTGATGAATGCGTATTGCACGAATAAGGAACTTAGTAGAGATTCTCTGCGGTTCTTTTATGATGGTCAGCGCCTGAATGGCAAGGATACGCCAGAATCAACCTTTGATCTAGAGGATGCCGCGGATGACGAGGTCTACCAGATCGATGTCATGATGGAACAGCTTGGTGGTTATTAGTTGAGGTGGGAGACGCTGTGGGCTAGAGTTTTCTGGTTGTGTTTGAGAGGAGCATGAAAGTTTCTTTGGGATTCAAGGCGTTATGAGCATCGTGGAGGCATCTTGACGGACATTGGCATCAACGAGTTTCAAGGAGGGGATATGATGATGGCATTTGCGCTAGCCTATTTTATTGCTTTCTGTAGCTACATGCTATGAAAATACAATGATACACCAGTAAGCCACCAAATTATCGGACTGTTCAGTTTGAAAGAATAAAACGATGAAATGAGTACAGCCTACTACCTGCCTCGTTGGGTAGCTAAAGGTTGGACGAAAGGTAGTGCTGACTTTTTCTAAGAGAGTGTTCGGGAAGAAGCTGATTTCAAAGGAACTGTACCCTGGGTGCTTGACATAATCCCTGCCATTCTTTATTCCACGAGTGTCCACTTGGTAGTCTCTTTCTCACAACACCATTGTTCTCCACCTCAAACCAAGACCACAATCTATATTCTTTTGCGTCTTCAATACTTACCTGTCTTGTCCATCCCCTCAAAGACCATCAAACAACTAATATATACAAAAACAATACATTTCCAAATTTCACAAATATGACCCGTCTTACACCCTTTCGTCACTCATACCATTCCAAACTTCCCACCCAAGGTCATCTCTCCCTCAACCCAAGCCAAAACCCAACATGTGTTTCGAGAGACATACCAAATTTCAAAGCTGTGGACATAATACATGCAGCATCACGCGCTGCAGAATCCAAATGATAACGCATTGCCTGCCAAGCCAATGTCTTAAGTATGTGCTCAAAGGCACACGGGGTCCAGGATCCTGTCCTTCATGTGAGGATCTGAGAAGACAACAAGGTCTTAATGCGAAGCTATGACTTGCTTTGGAGACGGAATAGAGGTATTGTTGGCTCGGATTAATGAGGTAGGGGGCCTACCAAGGTAGAGTATATGATATAAAGGCTTCGCATCCTTAAGTCGTGCCTCTGAATAATATGAATATTTGAAGAACTTCCATAGAAGGTTTGTAAATTGTACGTCCAAAATCGAAATTATACAAGGTCAAAGCAAAGTAAAATGAAATGAGAATGTGAGCATCACGTAATCTTTAAAGGAGGCCCGTGACAATGCTATAGCAGCTCCATAAGGGGCTGAACAGCTTCTTCCGCAGGCCGTACGTATTAGAAACCCCAAGTATAGACTTAAAAAACCAAGCGAGAGAAACCAAGTCTTTGAACGGATCAGAACCCGGAAAAGCCACGATCAAAGAAAAACAATAGCCATATCAACATCAAAGAACCCGAACCCTTTGATACGAAAACGTCCAAAATCTTTGTTCGGTAATCCAGCATCTGCAAATCTCCCCCTCTCCGCACACAGTATTTTCCCTCTTCTTCCTTTTCTTCTTCGTCTTATCCTTCTATAAACTACTTCACCTCCACCTCCAATCAAAACATCGCAACTCGCAAGCACTAATACATACCCCTAACATCACACATCCATACAAATATCATAGTCCAACCACCACAAAATCAACTCCTTCAGTCCTCCAAGATGTGCCGAGAACAACACACCAAGTTTCTTTGCACCCACGAGACATACAGAATTTTCGGATGTGCGCAGCAGCTGCAAATTGGAAACCATCCGCCTTACTGCCCCAACTTCCGCGTCGTTACTGCAGATGCGACGTATCGGTGTCCGAATTGTAGGGCAGTGATTGATGCTGAACGTCTTCGTGTTAGGAATGACTTTTGATGGAAATGATGGAGATGAAGGGTGGGGCTCGCTTATAGTAATAGATGCTTTAGCAAAGGTAGATTGATGTTTGGTATATAATTTCCCGGTGGAGTTTGAAAGTGTGGGGTATGGGCAAGTTGTATTACTTTGGGGGGTTTGATTAAGGGGCATTTAGATAAGTTGTTAGGAATACTATAGTGGAATGTGAAAGGGGAGATAGGGGTTTGAATATATCAGGAGATGTCAATATTTCGATTCATTGGATTCAGACTCATTCAGTCATAATTGAGTCAGAGATTACTGCAGCAGAATATCAAGATCTTTTGAGTTAATCACAAGGGAACTTACAAGTGAGCAAGTTAGCACGGATGTAGAATCACAGCATCTGAGGTAAGAACTTAGGCTTTCGAATCATTCCTCTAGCATAATAATCATATCCCTAAACCATACTGTACGTCAGTTTCGAATATGTAATTTGCGAAATGTCCCGATATATCACGGTGATTAACATGGTATAACTCATCAAAAGATCTCCTCACACGCGTTGTTTATTAAATATCCCCCATGCTTCCAAACACCCACTATATATCCGCGTTGCCCCTGACCATTAGCTCAGGAACCTCAATATTTAACATATTATTCCAATCCCGCCCACCAGAAGGACGATCCGGACACTCGCAGACCACGTACATTCTACCGAGCCGTATTATATGCCGCTTGCCCTCCGCGTCCCATCTGGCATGTAACGAACTTCTACTGGCCTTTCTCTGGGCCAAAGCTCTATATCGCCTTTCTTGTGCTGGCAAGTTTGGCATTGCGAAGTGCTGATTTCGTTGGGGTTCATTTTGTTGCATCCTGTGAAGAGAATTTAGCTGGATGAATCAATATAGAAGCGACAAGCAGGGATAGCACACGGCAGCATTCCCATTCACACGCTTTTGGTGTATCCGTTTTGAGGCTTTCTGTTGTTTCTAGTGTGTTTTCTTGATTCTGTGACATTTTGAAGTGATGAAGTTGGGATTCTTTCGTTTGTGATCTTGAGAGTGTTTATTTGAGGCTTGGAGAGTTGTAGTGGAGAGTAGAAGATGTCGATTCCTAGCGGAGGGATGGCTTTATACCCCATGGAAAATTGAGAAAGTGTGATTCACAGAAAATCTGGCTTTGGAATAAGATTCCCATCCCCTTAGTGGCACACTTGTTTACCATGCAGAGGCAAGACCCTCATGAATAACAGGTACCAGAGGTAAGACCATCATCAATAACAGGAACTAAAGAAAAGAGCGACCCCGTAGGTCCTTCTCTCCCACTTTGTGCATTTCTCGAATCGTCCTCGTTCTTTCTTAGTAGGTCGGGATCGGGCCTTACGTCCACAATTTATATGAACGAGATGCCACCAGAAGTTTTGAATGGCGTGATTTTGATCTCATTTGCACTTAATAATAAGTCAAAATTATCAGGGAAGAAACAAGTGAAAAGAAACTTATATAGTTCATCAATTTCATTCAAAAAAAAACCCAATGGAAAGGGTCAGCCAAGATACCACTCCTCACATTTCCTTTACGCCGCGTTCATGGAACGGGTACTTTGCTGCGATTGTGCTAAAGTTTGTTTTTTGATCTGGGAACTACATGCATTTTGGGCAAACCATTCTTTTGTGGATGCCTCGCAGGGCAGAAATGCATCAATTCAAATCACTTAGTAAGTACCATTCTGAAAGAACCATATACCTGTTAAATTCACAGGTAATTGGATTAAGATATATAAGACACCGTGGACTTCCTAATGTCCGACCAAACTGAATTATGCCAGCTTCTGAAGAAAATATCAAGTCGACGACTAATGCACACTTGCAGTCAGAGCAACAATGAAGAAGAAATATAGAAAGACATGCAAACACTCCTCCTTTACTGCCATAAATCCAAACGTTAGACCTTCCGCACCTGTGCGTGTTCTCAAATAGTGCCTGATTCCTTTCTGAACTAGCCCAGCTAATCGCTGTTGTATCCCTTTTTTGCAACCGCGTTAAGAACTAACTTGCGCATCCCTAGCGCCCGACTCATCATCATCGGCCCATTCATTAGATGTCTCGCCAAGGGCAGATGGCTGGACTCTGGGGCCGTGGTTCCCATTTTCATTTGCCCTAGCAGCCTCTGGATCATCGAGGTATGGCTCTTCCACAGAACCGCCTTCGATGAGTCTCCTCATCGTTGCTCTGGCATCTTCGTCTCCATTTTGGGCGAAGCTACCGATTCGCTTGAATGCGCGGACCAAGGGTAAATGTGTCCACGAGGCGCTAGAGAGGAGCGTGAAGATTGATCCAACCTATGAAAATGTGTCAGCTTGGATGGCCATTTCACCAAGTCGACTATGGGAGAGAAGTGAGATGTACCTTCAATGCAAACACAACAACAGCAACGAGAAAAAGTAACCCAGCATTGACTTGCTCTGCCCTCCTCCACTCTCCAAAACAGCTGTGGCTCCTTCCGTAAGTTGTTGCACAAGTAGAAGGCTGTCCAAAAGGAAAGGCGCGGTCCACTACACTGTTCAAACCACAACACTCGAAGGTATCTTGGATCGTCCGAATCCCTCGAGTATCTTTATTTCTGAATAGCTTCGCCCACCTGTGGTCGAGTTCACAACTCAATGCATTCGGTGGTATCATGTGCGTCAATGCGAGTGTAGCAACGATGGTTTCGTAAATTAGCTGGAAGCCGATGACAGCGATGAGGGGTATGGTGAGCCGGAACTGTTCGTTTTTCGTCGATTGCCGGATCAGGCTGTAGACACCTTGTGTCGAGACGCCGGTAATCAACGGAAGGACAATGGTGAAGAGCGCGAGTGCCTGAGGGATGGGGAGGTTGAGGTAGTTAATTTGAGAGTAGGCATAGCTGTTGGCCTGAGTCAGTGGAAGCTTCATTGGGAGTACTAAGACAGAGAGAGCTACCCACCCCGCAATAGCTGTCAACAAGAGCAATAGCTAGCTAAATTAGCAACGCGGCTGGTGGTTCGAGCTTCAGCAATGCTCACAAGAGGACCAGCCAGCAGGAGAACATGCTCCCAGACAGTCATGATGAATAGAAACGAGGTAGATACGCGGGCAATAGAAGCTTGCAGATTTTGATATGGAATGTACTGTGGGAAAACGTAATTCCAATACTTTTCGATGGCTAACTGCAAGTCTGTGCAAGACGCTGTTTGTTGCTGTTTCGTCACTTAATCGGGAGATTTGAAAGGTAGAAGCAAATAAGAAGCACGTCACGGACTTATCACCTTATTGTGACATTCACAGCCTCATACTCGAGTGGCATCAATAAACTAAAATATGCCCACAGTGAAACAAAGAGGGGAAGCTTGACTTTATACAAGTACAGCCTCCCTTACGCACGTGACTGCCCCGCTTCACCTCGAGTAACGATGTATTGCCTGCCGTCTTCCCCAGCATTCGTTCGTTCGCAACCACCGACCACAGAACCACTTTGACCTGCGCATAAAAGAACACTGGAAGATAACCCCCAAGGGTACGGCAATAGTATAGCTAGCAGAGAGCAATTACTACCCACACCTTGCGCGCCTTCAAACCGCAACCATGCAGGCAATGCCCGATTCGCGCCAGCAGAGCTTCGAGGAAATTTATGGCCCTCCCGAGAATTTCCTCGAGATCGAAGTAAGCACTCTTCTATATTGTACCCTTTGTTGCGCCATATACCACCATCTCTACCACCTACCCCAATCACCTCCCCCCACCCCACCCCTCACTTCAACAGCCTTTACTAACCTTCTCCCCCCCACCAGGTTCGCAACCCACGCACCCATGGCATGGGTCGTAACATGTATACCGACTACGAGATCCTCTGCCGAACCAACATCCCCGCCTTCAAGCTGCGCCATTCCTCCGTCCGCAGACGCTATTCCGACTTCGAGTACTTCCGCGACATTCTTGAACGCGAGTCTGCGAGAGTCACGATTCCCCCGTTGCCCGGAAAGGTCTTTACAAATCGGTTTAGTGATGATGTGATTGAGCATCGGAGGGAGGGATTGCAGCGGTTCTTACAGATTGTTGTTGGTCATCCATTGCTGCAGACTGGTAGCAAGGTATTGGCGGGTTTTGTTCAGGGTGAGTTGGATATATATCTGATGGTTCCGGAGCCTTGCAAGGCTTCAAGTGGAGTTATCAGCTTGAAATGGGCATCACCTAGGAACAGAGCTAATATGGAGCGATACAGATCCAAATTGGGACCGCAATGCCTGGTGACCAAACTCCACCAACGCAAAACGTAGACCACGCAAGCTGCAAAAGCCACGACCCGCTACGATGATAACGAAATTACAACAACATGACCTTTCCTTGTTGCAAAAATTGCGTACGGTTTGACGTGCAGGATCGGAGCCAGGAGAGGATGCGTACAAACCTCATTTTCACTTCATGTTTGCAATAGGGCTCATTTGTACTTCACGGGCGTTCCCCTTTAGCGTTGCTGTTCTATAGTTTTATTCGCAATTGCGCTCCCCAAACCGGACGGGGTTTAAGCGCTTATGGTGTTAATGCTCTTTGAGAATGCAAATACAAATACAAATAAGCGATTCTAATACCCAGGTTCCACTTGTTGTCTTCTGCCTTTTGCATTAGTCTCCTATAAGGAAACGTCCGGGGACTTTGAGCGGGTCCCACGTGGTTATTGATTCTCTAAACACAGCGGGTGAAAGGAGACAGTTAAAATTTTAATGTGCTCATGCATTATTAGTTTAAGAGTAGTGAGGCGAGCTTATCCAGATCAGCCATGCAGATCCTGTCCACCCAATACTATAATACATCATGTTGCCCCATTTACCCGACGGTGGAAAGTCTATACGAAACTCCAGCCCAGAGACCCTATATGTACAAACGCCAAATTCTATACACGTATCATACAAGCACAGGTGCTCTTCTCTATCTCTCTGCATGTAGTAGCTTCAGGATACCCTCATACATTCCGAACATAATGGCTGCGCTGGGCACCGTCCGCAGCAAATGCGGGGTGAGACCACCGTACATGGCAACCATGCCCTCTTCTTTCCAGACCAGCTTGAAGCACTGGACTAAGCCTGTGTATTTCGGCTTTCCGTTCTCTAATGGTGCTTGACGGAGACGTGTGCGGGCGACCTATTAAACCAATTAGCAACATACCAAAAAGTAGAAATGGTATGACATGACTTACCTCGTGAGGATAAGTAGCCAGCGCCGCAACCAACTTCGCACTCCCCGCTGCCCCAATACTCCCCGTCCAGCTAACCACCTGATCCCACGCTGTCCTCTCCCTCCCACTCGCCACAATCCTACCTTCCCTCCTCTCCAAGCTCTTCTTCATCTCCTCGTACAGCACCCACTGCAGCGTACTCTCCGTAACCCCTAGATAACTCGCACTCATCCCCTTATAAAGTCCCCTCACGCCCTCCTTATTAATAACCTGCTTGATACAATCCCAACTATTCCTATACCGCCGCGCCGCATGTCCCCCACTCCTCTCCACCACATTCTTATCCAGCTGCAGCCGCGTCTTGATCAACCAGATAGGATTCGTAACCGTACTGGTAACCACGCCCGCCAGCGCCGCCGCGCACAACACCACCCACGCATCCTCCTTGCCCTCATTCCCATAATCCGCAATGATCCTCTTTCCATTGCCAACTACGAAGAAATTAATACTCCGCGCAGGCACCACACCGATCAGGTTCGGCCCCAGGCCCTTAAAGAGAGCGCGCCATCCTTCGAGTTTGTGCACAGACCCGAGAATCTGGAACGTCTCGCGGAAATGCAGAATCGAGGAGCGAAAAGCGGACAGGTGCGCGTGGGGCGAGATACCTTTGGCGGCGCGGGATTGCAGGAGTTGGGTTTGGTAGAAGTCGGATTGCAGGCGGGTTTTTAGGACGTCGAGGGGTGCGGTTAGGGTTGCGGCTGTCATGCCTCCTATTCTGTTTTTGGCAAGTCAGTAAGCATATTGAGGATGAAAGAAAGAGGAGGGGGAGGGGATGAAAGAGGGGAATGGAAAGGGGGAAGAAAGTACCCTCCAGCTACGAAATGCGCCCACGACTTTGCGACGGGCGCTGGCTTGCTTGCTATCGTGGAAGCATAGTTTGGCTTCTCAATACCAACCTCCCCTAATTCCCTCGACTGCAGAAGTGCGGATGAGTCTAGGTGATGTTGTGGTTGTGAGGCGGATGCTTGTGATGTAGATCTGGTATTCATGAAGTGTGGATGAGAACTCGGGGGTTCTCGAACGAACGTGTTGAAAGGAAGTCGGAGATTAAAGAGGTATTGTTTGAATAAGGTCAGATCATGGATGGAATGGCAAGTTCGTTGTTTGGTTCGGAGTCGTATGTTGTGAATAATGGACTCGAAAGATATTTATTCGTTCATGTGCTGGATGACGCTTGTAGGTATTTCCCAAGAAAAATTATGCGGAGAGCGAACCGCGTTCCCGCGTCGGGTGGCGCGCTAGTGATAAAGGGGTCAAGGTCGACGACGGACGACTCTTAAGAATCACTTTCTAAAAACTAGTCACCTGCAAACTGTTGTTATACCAATGATTGCTCTCATACTGTACTTACTTACTTGAATCTACGGACAGTAATGAAATATCGTTCATTGGACGAATTTAAACATAATACTAAAAACCCCTCAGTATAATCAGTGTATGATTCTACGCCAACGAGGACTCGAAAAGAATTACGCTTTCTAACACTCTAAAAATTCTACCTTGGATACTGACAATAGCCTCGTTTTTTTTTAAGAAGAGACCGGCTAATAAAAAACCGGAAGAAATAGAAATTATTGGAAATTTAGGCTGCATATTGACTACTTAAGAAACTCCTTGGAGTCTGGTATTTAGTGCAACGATAGATGCGGTTAATAAGCGGGCAGAAACGGGGTACGGGGTTCCAAAATCTAAATTGTCAAGTAAGCACTTTGTTGTAGATTCCCACAGGTTGGAAGTAATAGTCCTGTATCAGTTTTCTAGTAGTAAGGGTCTTCAAGTAGTTTTCTCCACGATCGCTTTTTCCTACTTTTATATATCAAGCTATAGTCTCTCTTTGCAAAGTGCTTTAGATATTAGTATTTCATCTCCTTGCAGATATTCGCTAGCTACAATCGATACCATATTCTTTTCACTTTCTCACAACAAATACTTTTAAGAAACTCTTCATCCAAGTCTCATATCTTAACTTATGACACACATCGTGATTCTAGGTGCCTCCCTAAGCTGGAATCCGCACCGCACATCGAATTCTCACGCGAGCAGAGAAAGCTGGAAATGCTGGTCATGTCAAGCTTACTCTCGTGTCTCCAAACACACATAGGTATTGGAACCTCGCCTCGCCCCGAGGTCTAATGGATGGTTCCTTGTATGAAAGCGAGGTTGGACAGAAGCGAGTTGTTCTTTGAAACTAGTTAGGCTGGCACAAAACGAATTGTTTTGACTGAGCCTTGGTGTTGTCTTCTCATAGCAGAATAGGCCATGTGAACGATAAACCATTCGGCGCTAAACTGCTAGCGCCAGCTCGATATCAGCAGCTGCTATGGTCCTTCCTTCAGCGCTGAAGTCCATCGCCATTTTTTAAACCCCTCGTAGAGCACGATGGTTCAGGAGTCAGTAGGAGCATCGCACCCATGTTGTGTAGTGTATGATGATTAGAGACAAGTAGACAAGCGCGATTAATAATTTCTGACCAGAATTTGCTAATGTAATCTTACTCCGACGCCCAGCCTCAGAAAATGCCCTGTTCCCTCAATTCAGGACCTAACTTAAAATCAAATCATACGCCATGCTCATCATCCCACAAGAAAGAGTAATATAATCATACACAGAGGCTGTTGTTGAAAGACGAGCCACATCGATAAGAAACACTTTCCCTCCATACAATCCCAAAACAGAGCGCCCAACCCAAGGGCCACTTTCTCCCACATAATACTAGCCCTGAGAATTACTTGGTCGATAAGTCGAAATAGAAAAATCTTACTCTTCGTCGGAATCGGCGATGAGCCTAATAGTTCCATCGCTGGCATCTCGTGATGGAGTGCCGCTTCTGTCATCGTAGTAGCTACCCAGTATCTTCTTCTTGGCACTTCTCTTTCCTACACTGGACATCTTGGGTGGAGGACTCTTGGAGCCTTTTGGGCTCTTCTCCGAGGTTACCACTGTCAAGCTTGAATTTCGAGACGATTTGCTTTGCACTTTGCCGAAACGCTTAGCAGAAGTGACTCGGGTCTTCTTGACTGCAACAACACGACCGGTGCCACGCTTGACACTGATTGCTTTGCGTGATTTCAAAAAGGGTCCAGAGACGCTCTTCTTAATCGTCTTAGCGGCTCCTTTCGCCACCTTCATGCTAACCGAAGAAGCAGATTTCTTAACTCCCTTGGCTGCCTTCATCTTTCTCTTCTTTGGGCTTCGTGGATCTACCGAATCCTCTTCATCCTCCCCGCCGAACAACTCCTTCAGCTTTCGCTTCCCGGCCCTGACGCCAGCCTTGACCACCTCCTTGATGGCATCCTTGACGGGCTTTGGGTCCTTTGGCTTAGGTCCCAGTACGCCACGACAATTGGCACTACCGCATCGGCATTCCTGGACGTTTTTCGCGGAGAAGGGATCGAAGTTGTAGTCATAAGTTAATTCGTCACCGGTCATAATTGGATCATCGCCGGCGAACAGAGCCATACGAGGCTTTCCGCCAACAAGCCATTTCACCATTCTGCAATTGGGTTTGCAGGAGTGGTTGACAAATCTGGCAATGCTGCCTTTGGTTCCGTCAAGAATCATATTCTGATCAAAAGACATCAGGTAGTAACACTTGATCAAAATAGTTAGCAAATGTATAAGATGGGAATGGTTTCCAACCCACCTCGTTGTTCTTGTAGTCTTCATTCATTCTTCGATCGCATTCGTCTTCTGTGATAATTTCTCCAGTATATTCGACGATGATTTGGTTGGCTTCAAAGCAACGGTTGCTTCGAACGCCGTAACCGCGATCAGGAGTCTTGATAACCTCTACGCCGATTCTATACTTTCCACCACCCTTGCGACGTTCTTGTAAGTCACCAAAGGCTCGGTTTGTGCAATGAGTACGACCAGCGGCACAGATGGTATCATTGCACTCGTAGAGCATAATCCTGTTCTGGCAACGCTCATCACATCCAGTTTCTGGGGTACAGACACACTTTGAAGAAAAACTGTCAAATATATCTTCCTTCTTCCAGAACGAAGCAGCGTTACCTACGAAGCGATCTTAAGGCCAAGGTTAGCTACTACGCATATGTTCACGTTGAGAATGCTTACTGCTTGAAGTCTTTCGCCACTCGTCTGGCTTTGGTTGTCCTGGAGGAAGGGGCGAGCAGACATCAAAAGGTAACTTAAAGTCTCTTCCAACATAGAGTAATCGTTGGCCATGCCACATAGGCAGCGGCATAAATCCGTCTTTCTTAAACTCAGGAAAGCCGACTTTAGCATCGGGAGCCTTGTCTTGGAACCAGTCCAAGTTCGTTTCCTGTCCAGCGTACAGTCCCTTAGTCAACCAGGTTTTCTCTCTTTTCCCATTGACTCTCTTCTTTTCGACGGGCTTCACCGCTTCCGGTTTCGGCGGTTCGACAACCTGCTCAATCTTCTTCCTCTTCTTCGCCGGTTCTGCCTTGACTAACTTCCCGTTACTCCAGACCTCGTGCAGAACAGGCTTCGTATCGATATGTAGGAATTCGGGGGTATCCGCCAATTTCCTAAGCTCCCTTGGCACTTTAGCACCACTCGATAGTCCCAGCCCATCCTCGAAAGCCTTTCTTCCTCTCTTGCCCAGTACACTAATCTTCTTGCTGAGACTTCCAAGTGCGTCTACCTTGAAGCGGCTGTCTGTTTCTTTCTGCGCGTTCGTTTTTTTGGTGTACTTTCGTGGGCTGCCGGCGAGGCCAATTTGACTCTTGGACTTGGGCAGTTTCTTGACAGACCACTCTAGATCCAATGCGTCGATTCCATCACGGACGAGCCTGTCTGCATCCTTGGTGACTGTGTCGGTGGATGAGTTCGCAGAATTCAGCGCGCCGATCAATGTATCGCCCGATATTGCCCTGCGACGCGGCTTCGGCTCTCGCTTTTGCTTGGGGCCCATTGGCGTGCCGTCTGAGTTCTTGAGGAACTTTCGCGGAACGTGGACAGCTGTACCGGCCAATTTCTTGACATTGTATGTAGGGACTTCCACGCGCTCGCGCCTGCTATACTGTGAAGTTGCAGCAGTGGGTGTTTCCTGAATATTGCCAACATTCACCGACGCGGATGACACGCTAACACTGTCGGCAATGCTTGTCGGGGGTGTAGATGAGAAGGATTGAGTGTTTGAGGAGGCTGCGTCGACAGTAATGGAGCTTAGAATCGACTCGGGGGAGGAAGGACGCGTCGCTTCTAGGGCGCGTGAATGTTCTGGCGGCGCGGCCATTTTATTGAGGAGAGTAGAGAGCATATTAGAAGAGTGGTGAGGAATGTTCGCGTTGGAGGAGGTTGTTGATGTATGCGCGTGGAGGTTAGGCGAAGCCGGAGGATGGATGATGGGATGGAGTAGAGGCAGGCGCTTTGGTATTTGTGGAGATATGATTACGATGCCGAAAGAAGCGGCGGAGCCAGAGTGTGATACTCTATCGCGCGGTGCTCGAGCCTTTCCAATGCGCCCAAGACAAGTTGGCTCGAGTGGCAGGAAGTCGATATTGGTGGAAGAGTCGCAGTAGTTACTTAGTAGCTGTGAGGGGAAAGAAGCAAGAGTGATGGACGCTAGGGCAGAAAGATGGCTGGGGGCTGGTCCGTCCAAAACAACAACCACGACTGTGACGAATGGGGATCCTCCAATTTCGAAATGTGTGCCTTTACCCACACGGGGTCAAAGAGGTTTAATATAATCTATTGTTTGGATAGTCGTATCTGACTATGATAGGGACATTTAGTCTAAATCAGACTTTCTAGTCTGGACTTCAAGATGCGATTGTCTTTGTGAAAGGATGAAAGCAATCTGATTATGCATCGGCGATGCTGCACTATCCCTGGCGGCTGTGTTCTCTCTTGAGGCATTTTAATTGTCGAAGCTATGGTGGCAGGCAAGCAGGCAGGTGAAAGTAGGGAGGTGTCGGATGGATTGAGGCATATTAGCGACTTATATCAACAGGGGAACTTTAAAATTTAACAGCACCAAAATCCCCTTTTGGTGTTTCCGCCAGTTTACTTTTGTAGGGTAGGGGTGTTGCTGTTCTGCGATGCTTCAGATTAGGAAGGGGTAATGCCTCTCGTCATGGGGTGTCGCCAGTCGCATCCGTGAGCATTATCACCGCATTTTTGATTTCCTAGCATCCATAAGTGCCTCCACCTACGACAAGTACGATATCATAGAGCGTCTATAGACTTTGCCCCTTATTTATTATTTTCCTAGGTTGAGTTTCTTCTTTTCAAAGGTGGGATATTTCGTTCAAATGTCCGAAAAACTACCCGTCGATCAAAGCAAACACTTCCGGATTTTGGGAGAACCATAACAAAAAGTCATGAATGTCTTTCGATATTATATCCAATTCCATCCAGATTTTAAAATGAAGGGCTTTTTTAGCTTGTATTCTCAAAGGTTGTCAATAATAATAAGCGTGAGGGCGAAAGTTCAAGCTAGCCCTATCTTCGCAGGTAGAATTCAAGAACGCGACTTCTTCGTATTATATATCCCGAACGCCGCAGCATCAATATCTGATATATTCAGCCATGCGCCGAACTTCTCTCCTTAAACTTTTCGAGAAGTTGGGAACGCTTGTTGATTCATTGTAAAGTGACCCTGAGTCAGGTTCGGAAGCTCAAATCCGGAAAGAAGCTGCTGGAATCCCGACGCAGCACATTAGCAGAAAGCCGTCAGATCAAATCAGACCGCGCCGCAACAGGGACACACAAAAGATGTCCACGATTCACGCTCGCAAATACTCAAGACGATCCAGATGTTCAACTTCAATGTCAGTGAAGCTGAATTGCTTTACCCCTTTTCAGTGCAGCACCCCCCGAAGAAATTCCGGCGACCATTTAATACTGGCATATCGATCAGGATCAGGGCATCACGCAAATATGGAAGTCGCCACGAAGGATTCTGGATTAGAAATTTCCACATCGCGCCTTCCTGGTTGCTGAACAGGAACTGCTGCTAGCAGCAGCCCGTGATATGTACATACTCCCCGTATAAATTTAGACTGAGAGACGCAGAGGCTGAGATTAAGGACAAGGAGAAGATTTCATACACAGCTGCAAAGCTATATATATGACGTTCTTACTCTATTCATCATGATACCCCACATCCACCTCCGTCTGTTGCCAGCTTGCTACACTTCTCTCATCACACTATAGTGTCTCATTTTCGCAAAGTCAAGATAAAGTGAACAGGGCCAAGTGTGGACCGCAAAAGGTAGCATAACAACAAACGGGGGCATGATAACAATCTGGAGGATGACAGCAAGCTGCTACTCAAACAAGACTAGATGCGCTGTTCTGATGAGCAGGCTTGGCCCAGTACAGCATGGTCATAGCCAGCAGAAAGAGGTCGTGCGTACAGTATGCAGGTTTGATAGATCTGCGAGCTGCATTCTGCGCCTGAAGTGAGACTGAACACATTCCGAGTTCCGTCTCGATGTCTATGTAGTAATCCTTAAACCATAGACAATTCTATTTTCATTTTCTGTTTTTGTTTCAACAAACGAATTGTATACAAGTATCCGAAAAAATAATAGTAAAAAACATGCTGTGAGATCCAAGCGTCGAAATAGCTAGAGTCACGCTACCTGGTACATCTCGAATCTCCATTTTATACCTTCTCTTTCTAGACTTTCCCACTCTCATTTAAAGTTGTTTCTACCACTTTAAAATGCATCATGCAAAGTCTAGACTAAAAGCAATCACAAATGAAGTGTACAGAAATTGGCAACTAGCTTACTTTGATCTCCAAAGATATAACATCCATCTCTAAATATATCACACTTAAATGTATATATATTAACAAAGTCGTTCTACTAACAATCGAATCAATAAAACAAGTTACATTCTTGAATATGCAACTATGCTAAAGTATAAGCAATATATCTTCAAGCATGATAAAAACTCTAGTCAGTTTGATATAAGAAAGCTAGGGCAATTCTAGGACTTCGTAATAGATTCTAGCGTATATTGCACGCTTCATTTATACTTTATACTGCTTGTGGAACAGATAGAATCTATCTTATGCTTCTATTTTCAGTTGTAAATATAATTCTAGAATTGTAAATAAACATGTAATTTAATCACTTACCAAGCTCCAACCTCTCAGTTTTGTCACTTCATTCATATGGCCACTATATCAGCTGCAATAAAAAATGCCGGTAAATTTGTCTCGCGCTCTCCTATAAGAAACATGAATCATTCTCCACATAGTAGCTCTAGATTCCGAGCTTAGATTCAAAAGTCCCCCGCCGATATGTATAAGTATGGAGTCTTTCTCCGTCGCTCCTGCCTTGAGCTTTCATTGATCTAAATCAAGGCGAAGCAAGAGAAGCTATGGGATAAAGTGACCAGTAACTTTCTAAGCAGACATATTCATTAGTTTCAGCCATAATACATCCCTTTCTTGTAGTTATTTTTTTGGGGTAAATTCACTTAATATCAAAGAAGAAAGGAGCAGGAGAAAGTTGCTGTCAATCAAAAAGTCACTTCATGGAAAATGCGGGGATAGCAGTCCCAACCAGATTCTATATTTAGACAGCGGTAAATATTTCTAGGACGTAGAGGTATAGGATAATTAATAATAATTCAAAGACATACATATGTCATTCTGTGAATCTCTTATTTGATTACAGGATGGTGCACTAGAGAACGCTTGTAGTATTTCATAATATTCAAAATCCATTCACAACGTTGAGGTGCTATGTGCCCCTGTACTGAAACTTCTATTCAGCAGCGTGTTAAAATAAGCCTCCATAGCTAAACCTCGAAAGTTCCGATACCAGTACTCGACATGCGTTAACCCCGATATAAGATATGGATGGAATCAAGCAGAATCACACTGTATGAAGTATTCGCCTCCTAATTCTTAGTAATGCTAGCTACATTCAAGCCATGCGAGTAGTTCAACCCATGTGACTTATCCAAGCACAATTTGGTTCGATAATAAAAAGCTAACCGATGCTAGTAAACTATCAACTAAGTTTAGCTGGAACCAATATTGCTGATAAAAGGGGGAGAAAGACGAACCTTCCGCCCTACTCCGTAGAAACATTCTAGGGTACTGTACCCTTTTATATAAGATTTTCATAGCAACTCTACAGTAGATCTTCATTCTCAAATGAGATTCAACTATTCTGCACCCTATTCATTTAAAAAAGGAGAACACATATATTTTCCGCGAGACCCAGGAGAATTTAGCGGATATGACACGTGACTATATTGAGGTGAACTTGAAGTTTTCAGGAGAAGTTCTCGTATATTGCAGACCAGATTGCAAAAACTCCTTGTATCTTCTTTGCAGGATTCCTGTTAATGACACATATGATGTGTAGTAGTCCCTCAAAGATTATGTGAGGTCGGCTTAGCCACATTTTATTTTGCGTTTCAACTAACTGACTTGTGTTGAGTCACTTAAGTCAAAGTAAGAGGTGGTAAGGGGCATCACGATCACGGCTGGGTTCTCACGAGCGTAGGAAACATTTTTGTTAGAAAACCCAGGCGTTATATTACATGCTGCAAGGAGTCGAACGAACCAAAAGTTGTTCACGACGCCAGGTATCAAATGCGCCTCTTGCACACCATCAAAGGTATTACTCCAACCCTTGATTATCACAAAACCTTTGACAATCACGTTCAACGACCCCCTCCCATCCCACCTAGATGACCACCCGTCCCTCCCGGATAACCCCCCACTCCTAGCGGAAATCTCCCCGATGGATCAGGATACTCTATATATCGCGTGGGCCCCATCACAACTCGCCTATGCACCACCTGTTCCGTGAATCTGATCTGCTGAATATTAACATGAATCCTTTCCTCAGTCCCATAAATGATGACTCCGTTCGGCCCAACAGTGGGCGGCAGAACCCGTCTCTCGCGCGTCTCTCTTCGCATACCGCTTCCATCTGGAAAGATCTGTTGCGAAGAGGAAGTGGAGGAGGTTGGGAGTCCTGGTCTGGTGTCACGAGCGGGCAGCAAACTCCCTACTTGACGCGAAGTGCTGAGGCTCGAAGTTGTCCTTGGGATGGATAATGATAGTACTGGTTTGGAGAGCATGCGGCTTGAATCAAGCTTTGGCATCGATGAGCCCAGTGCTTTGGCAGAACTTGAGGATGAGGGTTGTGCTCGCGCTCTGGATGCCGAGTCGAGCTTTGGCATGGCGGAAGCCTTTCCCTTCGATTCTGAACCAGGATCCGCTCGAGGCACACTAGAGATCAACACTCTAAGAATAGTTTTGACGAACTTCGCATCGGCATACGCTATTTCGAAATTAACATACTCAGCAAGGAACTCAGAAGGGTTCTTCAGATATATCTGCCGTTTACGGACAATGTTGTCGAACTTGAGTAGGATAGAGCCGTCTTGACCATATCTGTTCTGCGAAACTGCTTTGCGCACCCGCTCGTCGAAGGATTTCCAGTAGGTATCGCCAGCGTCGAAAATTTCTTGTATCGCTTGATGGCAATGGCGGAGATGGACGTCGAAGCCGTGCCATTTGTTGAACCATGCAAGTTCATCGAACTTTGAGGAGCTGGCGTGAGACTTGGACTTAGAAACAGATATGGGATTTTGGGTGGAAGACATGTTGTTTATCGCAATCTTTCTTAGTTGTGCAGGAAAAGAGTCCAAGGTTGAGGTTGAGGACATTGATATAGAACTAATTCTGCTAGTTGTGAATGAATGACCTTTTGAATCATGAGAAAAGGAAGCGCTGATTCATAGCTGAAAGTGGAGGTCGGCTCACTGATGTTAATGGCCATGCTGCAACGCGATAATATGACAAGTTATTGAAGAGTCAACCTTATCAATACCCATTGTCTGCCCCCCCTCCCAATCGCCATAAATATTCCTAGGAAACCAAATATAACGAACTAACGTCGAACACCATCTACTTTCGCTCGATGAGTACCTCTGAGGTAGTAAAAAAGTCGAGGGAGCTGGGAAAAGTCTTAGGAACTTGCTGTGTGGGTGGTGCTTCGTACAGGACTAGGAAACGGATTGTTTCTGAACGTAAATCGATATACAAGATAGAATGTGAGATTATCATCTTGCAATATCATGTATTCTGAGTGAGCAAGAGAACCTCGCAAATTATGAAGGACCACTTAGTCGGTATGTACAGTCAGCAGCTGGGTTCGAGGAGGTAAATGGGGTATGAAGACTGGAAATCACATGGAGTATCTAACACCCTTCACTAAATAGGTATATTAGGCATTATATCATAGGAAATGACCAACTAAAAGGCCCGAATGTTTCTTTTATTTCTCTGTATTGTTCATTCAGCCATCCCTTCCTCAACTCAAGAACGCCAGCCCTAGTATCTCATCTCATCTCATCATCACCGCCATGGAATCCGAAAAAGCAGCCACAAAGCTCAACGACTTAAAAAAGACACAAGAAGCGTGAAAAAACAAAGCCTCCAAAACAAGCTATGTAGACAAGTCGCAGCCTGCCAATGCACTTCCCAAAACGCCAAAGGCACGATACTACACGAAAGAAAGCAGTCCCGCAAACAAAAGAGATATGCATGTATGTGTGTGTAAGGGTCATGATGACCAGCTTCTGTTCCTGTCGCTATCGATCGACTTTTGGTGGTTGCCATCCGTTCAAGTACGCCATAAGTCCCATTCCCAAAATTACAACGCCCATCATTGAGGCGTATGGCGTCGCGTGATGCAACAAGGGATCGTGCCCCCCTGGTGGTCTCAACGTACTGATGGCCGTCCGATTCGGATCTTTGCTATCAGCTGCTGCGGCGCTACCATTTGCTAAACCAGCTTTTTGCAGCAGCGGGCCGAGCACAGAGTTAAGGCCTTCGAGATGGCCATTGGCCAGCCCATGAGATGGAATTTCGCCTTTCGGTGATTTGACATGTTCTGTCGACGAGGCTCTGCTGGCCTCATCTGACTTGATCTTGGCCACCATTTCCGCAAGCGTCTTTCTATCCGAGTCTCTCTCCGATTCGGCAGTCTCCGCCCGCATCTTAAATGACTGCATTTGCTCCCTCAGCTCCTGCATATCAACGAGCATTGTCTCAAGTCGTTTCTCCAGTAACAGGCTAGAATCTGAAATTGCTTTGGGATCAACAGTTTCGATGGGATCGACTTCCTTAGCGTCTGTAGTCTCCGATGGGGGTTCGAAAGCATCCTCCATGACGGAACCCTTCGCGTGGCCATTCGTCTTTGCTTCTGATTCTAATTCCAATCGCTTCGCAATCTCTTCCGCAACTTCTCGAGCACGCCTTTCCTTCTGTAACATGTCTTCCAAATCACGCATTCGAGCATTTTGGGTATCCAGTTCCTTTCTCGCGTTCGCCAAATCTTCAGCTAATTTAACGATTTGGCTGGGGGCTTCTTGTCGAATTGGCGAAACATTTGCACCGGATCGAGGTCGCTCGGTATTGGAGCGCTTCAGGGATGGAGAAGATGGTTCGAATGAATGAGCTGCACGAGCAACATCTGGTTTCTCGGGTAGAGGCTGTTGTGGAGGCGGCGCAGGCGGATCCGAAAATCTAGGTTTTGTATCCGTTCGGAATGGCAAGACACTCCCATTAATTTGGGGGGGTTTGGGAGCTTCAATGATTGGTACTCTCTCATTCTCCTTCAAATCATCCTTGGTAACCATCGAATCTAAGAAGTTATCTGCCCGGCCAAGGTCAATGGTTTGTAAACGAGCTATCCTCATTTCGTGCTGTAGAAGTAGTCAGACGCTGCATCTTTTAAGCATGAACCGCAATGCTTACTGTAAGTCTCTTCACGATTTGCTCGGTCGTCACTGGTGTCAACCAGAAGTTCATGGGCCGTTGATGGCCCATGACACTCATTTGACTGGTTGAACTTCCAGCAGCACTGGCAGGGGGCACCATTCGTCCATTGCTCCCTACGGATCCTTGACTGCCTGACCTTCCTCGCATCTGCATGGAGCCTTGAGATGGCATCATCATTGCACCGTTCGCTGGATCTAAGTCGCTGAAGTTCATGTCCAAAACGTTGCTTGTTGCGCCGAGGAACCCAGCGTGCTCTACTTTCGCCGCAACCTTGTGATGCACCACCGTTTTTTGGTCTTCGCTAACGATATCAATTCCGAGTTCTAAATGGTCTTGCGTTTGCAGCTCGTGCGGCTCCGAGTCGCGGTTCTCTGCAGATAATCGAGCCCCGTTCACAAAAGTGCCGTTGGAAGATTTGACGTCGCGAATATATATTTTCCCGTTGTTCTTGTCTGCCCATATTTCGGCGTGCTGTCTTGACAGTACTTTTGAGTCGAAATATCCGTTGGCAGGTGTCGGTACCGTTTTTGCGTTCGTCTGGCGCCCTATCCTTAGACTATCCGGGTAGTAGGGGACCGATATTGTTTTCCGCTCGAACGTCCCATTCATGGAGAGCAAATAAAGGACTGGGTTGCCCTCCCCAATCGGTTGTGCAGGTGGCCGGTTTCCATTGTTTTGTTGTGTAGGGCTTTGTAGAAGGTGCTGAGATGGGACAACGGGCGAGGGTTGGTGTATGGAAGGCATCGAAGATGCTGTAGATGATCCATTTGTGGCTAATACTGACTGTGGGCGTGCGGTAGAGACACCGGAGACTGCTTCTGCTTTGCTTGTTGGCCACGGTCCTGTCCTTGGGGGCTTTTTGCGCGCGAAGGAACCGAGATCTCCTGATGGTGACATTGGGACGCCATTGGTCTGGGGCGAGGGTTGACTTATGGTAGAGCTAGATGAGGTAGAAGAACTTGAGGCTATCGAGGAGGAGGAGTTGGTGCGCTGAGCGCTCTTGCGTGGCATGAACATTCGGGCGACTTCGTCGGCGTTCATCGAATTGAGACCTCCTTGTCCGACATTAGCACCCCATGGTGACCTGTTATTTTGTTGAAAACTCGGTGGACTCGCGACTGCCGTCATCTGTGAGGTTTTCGAGGCTTGTAGCTAAGGGTTGTAGGATATATTGATGAGGCTGTGGGTGATGATGATTGAAAGATTGAAAAGTGTTGGATTAGTGACCTCCCCCGACACCTCGACACAACAGCAGATAGCGCTTTGCTCCAAGCTTCCACCCGATGAGCTATGAGCTAGAGTACTATCTCTACAGGTAGATATGATGGGGATGAGGTATGTAGGATCTAGTAGCCTGTTCTGTTGTAGATTATCAGCCCTTGAATTGTCACGAACGAGGGGGATGCAGAGCCAAAACAAGCGCCAAGAGGCTGTTGGAGTCGTCGCAAGAGGGAGGATCTGTCGGGGAGAGGATTGAAGAGACTCACATGGGCCAGGTGCAGTGCTGGTGGTGGGGTAGATGGTGGTGGAGGAGGATTCCCGTGGTGGGTGGTCTGAACCGTTGCCAGATGGAAAGTTTGGAGGTCCTTCAAGGTCGGATTCTCACGCAAGGTTGAGAGTCGGCGAATCAGAGGCAACGCTCGGATACTTGTCCTGTAAAGGAGGCACAGCACGCGCGCACGACCACGTGAGACGACAGGCAAGGTGTGGATGTGAATGAAGGCAGCATCAAATATGTGGAGTGTGGAGATGTTGACTTTGACGATGATTTGGCTTTATCCAGCCCCTATTTACTGCTATTGATGTTTAGTCAGGTGATTTGTCCAGTCGTGTCGTGTCGTGAAGAAAGTGGCCCGCGTGTGTGGTTTTGAGTCGGCGTCGGCATTGGATTGGCGCCCGTGGATTTCGGGAAAGAAGCGGAGCGAAGCAAAGTCAAGTAACGCAACCAACGAAGAGAAAGAATAGCTTCAAGTTCTGCACCAAGACCAGGCAAACATTCCTCCGAACACGTTCAAGTCTCCCTCAATATGCCGGTTCCAGTTGGTGGACAGATGGGTGGTGGGTCCAACTTCGACAAGTGTATGTTGTATGTCCTGACTTGAAAGAAGAGAAATCATCTACTGACCAGCCCAACAGTCAAGATGGGCGCCATGATGGGTAGCAGTAAGCAATTGCCTGGGCTCTGTGTTTTCATTTGCTGTGCTAATATCTTTATTCCAGCTGTCGGGGTCATCATTGGCTTTATATTTGGTATGCTGGCGCACTCAAAGGCCAAGTCCCGGTTCTAATAGCTGTACAGGCTCTGTCAACATTATGAGATACGGTGCCGGACCAAACGGAGTTATGCGATCACTTGGACAATACATGGTTGGTTCTGGAGCTACATTTGGGTAATATCTTATATTTTGCTAAGGTCTGGCTGGGGTTGCTGTTAACAAGCTTTAGTTTCTTCATGGCCATAGGAAGTACCATTCGAACAGATTCCGTCTCGCAACAAGCAATGGATGCTTACCTTCAATCAAAGCGCCGCCCTCTTATCATGCCGCGCCATCCATACCACCAATCAAAGGACGAATAATGACAAAGTATCGAGCAAGCGGGGATGAGGGAAGGAGAAAGGAGGGACGGCGAGGCAACCATCCAACACAAAAGGCGTTCAATGTACATAATAGGCATGGATTCACGAGCCCGGAGAGGCTTCAGCAAACCCGCCTTGTACCACCACTATATCAGCACAATACCCAAGAGACGAGTTTCCTCGTTCATATTTCTAGGTTGGAATACCTCGCGCATGCAGCACAGCTACACAGTAGGGAAGGAGGTGCAGACGACAGAGTGGCTGTCAAATAAATTGTTATGTCCAAGTGGATTGTACTGTTCATTCGTTGTGTTATTCCTGGGGCCATTATTGTTCACTTGCCACTACATACCTTCAAAGGCTTTATTTCACGTTGCACATTTGACGACCGAGCCCTGAGACTTACCGTTTATTCATCAGCCGCTCAGGCACCATAGCCGCTGTGGAAGCTGTGATAGCTGATAGGTTTTCTGCAGAACGAGGGCACTTACGTACAGCATCGATAACCCCATTTATGCATTACCTATGTCTTCCAAAGGCTTCTATTGATATATCATTTATTCATCAACAGCTGAGAGGTCTAGCGGCAGGGAACTTTTTTACAAACCGACTCACATCAGACAGATTTTCAGAATATGGAAAGGCACTTGTGCACATCACCAATATTCTCCCGTCTTGCATGCATAACACAGAGATGATGGAATCGATATATTCTGCGGCGGGAAGGTCCAACTATAAAACAAGAGCCTGGATGTAGCTGGTCGATTCTGTGAGAATAGCTGCATTTCCAACTGCATTGGGACATTGGTTTTGAGCCGCGCCATTATCTTTCCGCCTTGCGGGGCAACGCCAGGTACGACGCACAAGAGTGGGTATCAAAACAAGCTACATCAGCGCGTTTAGGAAACATGAGATCAACAACTATCAACAGCTATAATAAGCTTTGGGGCAGCGAGAGGCGTCCCTCTATATGTTCCCCCGCCGCGTATATTCACACTCTCAATTGATTGCCCGCTCGCGCCAGGCGCACTTACTTGCTCTCTCCGGATTATACCTTGGGAGCGAGCAGCTCAGTCCAGGATTTGTACAGGATTCAGGACTTATAAACCGGCACGATACTAATCCGAAAGTTAGTTAAATAGAGACACGAGAAGTTAGTGTAACCCAACAAGGATGGTTTTCGATTATGACAAAACAGTAGCGCTGACAAATAAGCTTAACTCACAGCTTTACACATATGCCATAAACAGATCTTTCACTTGCTCTAAACGCTTCTCGAATCGTTTCAGCAAGCCCAGAGAATCCTCGTGGAGATTTCTAATTTGGCCGGCAAGCCACAAGTCTTCTGGATCCGGAGTGGTGTTGGCTAAGCAAGACAAAATGATCTGGTCCACCTGAAGCTCCGTTTACCACCATTTTCACCTTTGTAAGCTTTGTTTCTTTCACTCAGCGAAGAGTCTAACGACAATTTTCCGACTTATGATCCCTATTTAGCCCCTATCGTGTTTATAAATGGTGGGCTTCTCGTGGACAAGGCCGCAAAACACTTAGTTAGGGGGTACAACACTAAAAGCCCAAGAAATGCCACTTGCCTCGAAAAGGACACTTCAACGATCAATTGAAACTGACGGTACCTGGAATTTTTTCTCACTAAAACAACTTCGGCACCTCGTATTGAAGATACACGTGTCGTTCGCAGCTAAGAAAACAAGTCTGTCGTTTTCCAAGGTCTTATTTCAAGGGACGTGCAACCGAGTGGTAAGAAAGCTAGGGTACCCATGGAAGAACAGACTTGTGAGCTACTTAAGTACGAGTGGCATGGATGAGGCTGAAACAAATCGAGATCTGTTAGCGGAGTACGGACGGACCGGCTTACAAGTCCCACGCTGTAGTCCACCCGCGATCATACTCTCTCGCCTAGAAGTACTAAGGTACTTTACGTTTTTGTATGTAAAAACAAGCGCTTTGTTCAAAATTGCATCCCTTTGTATAATGCGTCTCTTTGTATAACTTCAATATATATTACTGCGTCCCCTCGCTGCCAGAGAATAATATTTCTCTTAGTGAACGAATACGGAGTAGACCCAACCATCAACGCAGACAATGTCTGAAACCTTTCTAGTGTACCTAGTTAGGGTGGCACGGATTGGGCTAGTCCCCGAGCTAGATGGCCTAATCTAGCACTCGGAGAAGAGTCCCTGTCTCCCGATAAAGCGATCGGAATAACATGCAACTTCTGTACAAGACCTGAAATTAACTTCTGATGTGGATGTTTTTTCGGTTAGACCTGTTGCTTTTAATATAAGCACTAACCTCACATCTTGAATTAGGTTGCAGACACGCTTTGACCAAGTCCGGGCTGGCTACCTGCCATTCTCTATCTCCTGGTTGAGTACCTACCTAATACCTACAGCGATTATCTCACGGGCCTCTTATTATGGATACTTTCTATTCACACTCATGGTTAATGAATGTGACTGTGGCTTAGACAAGCTCAGTGAGCCCATCCATATCTGTCTTGTATATAGGAATAACCCTTCTCATTCTTTCTAATTTCTCCCCATTTTTTTTTCAACTTGGCTTCTTTTACACTCTTTTACACTCTCTTACACTCTCTTCGGGCGTGGTATATTAATTAGTGATATGTCTCTCATTGGTCATATTTTAAGTGGTGCATTGGGTATTGTCGCCTCTTTGTCGCAACAGCAGACGAATGGGTATGTAGTTTTATTTTTGTGATAACGACAAATCACGCTTGTGAAGTTTTTACCCCTTTCCAATCAGCAGATCGCCAATCTCAGAATATCTACTAAACGCCCACAGTGCATCTAAATGGGGCACGCTCTCTAATGCACAACTTCCCCAGTTTCTCAGCAACAATCCGCTGCCATGGGGATTCCCTTGGGGTCCCTTGACGGCGAAGGGCGATAATCCATATACCAGCGCTCCAGACACTGGCATCATCCGAGCATATGACTTCACTATTCAGCGTGGCCAAATCGCCCCAGATGGCTATATGAAAGATGTACTATTGATCAATGGTCAATTCCCTGGACCTTTGCTTGAGGCAAACTGGGGCGACACTTTCATAATCACGGTGCATAACCAAATTGTTGCACCTACGGAGGGTACGGCATTGCATTGGCATGGTCTTCTGCAAAAGGGAAGTCCGTGGTTTGATGGCGTCCCTGCAGTGCAGCAATGCCCTATTGCTCCTGGGACGTCCTTCACATATACATTCAAAGCGGATCTTTATGGATCATCATGGTACCACTCTCATTATTCCGCTCAACTCGCTGGTACGTTCTATGTAATCAACTTACATGTCTCGAGCTAACATCTGCAGGCGGTCTTTTTGGTCCAATGATCATACACGGTCCCTCACATGTTCCGTATGATATTGATCTCGGTCCAGTCATGCTTTCAGACTACTATCATACTGAATACTTTAAACTCGTTGAAGGAGCCATGGCTTCTATAACCGACGCAAATTTCAATCCAGCCCCAGCATCAGACAACAATTTGATTAACGGAAAGATGAACTTCAACTGTTCTACTGTTGCCGTTGGTGACAATACGTCATGTAGCAGCAATGCTGGGATTTCGAAATTCAAGTTTACCAGTGGGAAGACTCATCGCCTTCGCTTGATGAACGTTGGAGGAGAAGGTCTCCAGCGATTCAGTATTGACGGGCACAGCATGACAGTCATCGCGAACGATTTCGTCCCGGTTGTTAGTTATACCACTCCTTCAGGAAAGCAGGTCAACTAACCTAATTACAGAAACCATACACCACGAAAGTTGTAACTCTCGGCATTGGCCAACGATCCGACGTTCTTGTTACCGCGAATGCAGGCAGGTCGGATTCAGCCTTCTGGATGCGCTCTAACATTTCTACGATATGCGGAATCACTACTCAACCAGCTGCCCTTGCCGCAATTTACTACGACAGAGCCGACACTAGCAAATCACCAACCTCAACCGCATGGGATATTCCCGATCCAGGGACCTGCGCAAACGATGACCTCTCGCTCACAGTCCCCTACTACCCCATAGCTCCGTCCACCCCGTCAACCACCCAGACCCTGGAGATAAATTACCACTTCAACGAGACGGGCCACTTCCTCTGGACACTAGGTGCTAACACCTTCCGCGCAGACTACAATCAACCAATCCTACTCATGGCAAATAAGGGAAACTTTACCTACCCCGATGACTGGAACGTTCACAACTACGGCACGAACACCACCATCCGCATCGTAGTCAACAACCCCGGCCCAGCCGCCCACCCCATGCACCTCCACGGCCACAACATGCAGATCATCTCCGAAGGTCCCGGCAACTGGGATGGCGTGTCCACCACCGGCGGCAACAACCCGCAACGCCGAGACGTGCAGTTGGTACGAAACGGCGGACACATGGTGATGCAGTTCAACGCTGACAACCCCGGCGTGTGGCCTTTCCATTGCCACATCGCCTGGCACGTGTCTGGAGGTTTATATGCCAATCTGATAGAGAGACCGGCGGATATCGCAAAGGATACGCCGCTCCCGCAAGTGTTGACGCAGATGTGTCAGGATTGGTCGTCATGGTCTACGGGGAATATTGTGGATCAGATTGATAGTGGGTTGTGAGATGTTTAGTAGACTGAGAGATGCTCACTCTCAAAAGCGACGACGGGACGAACTTTTTCTTTTGTTGTATAGAATAGGTTGTAGATACTACGCGTATAACCACACTAATTGTTAATTATTTCAAATAGAAAATTGTAATTTTGCTTAAATCTTGAGAACCCCGCGCTCGACTGCTGGATGATCTTTGTCGTGCGTCCTGTCATATGGTCAGTAGTTAGCATGTCCTATACCTCAATAGCCCGTAAGTGGTTAATGGTAGAACTAGTAGGATGAGATGCAGAAGCATATCCTGATACGTTCCGGACTGAAAAGTTCTAGATGGAGCGTGCATTACCGAGCAACGAAAGCTGGGGATGCGGTGGATTAGACCCGTTTTTACCCCGGAAAGATCGTCCAGATCAGCCCAACATGAGCTCAACTAAGCTTACTACTACTAAAGAAATTTAGTTCTTTCCACTTTTGGGTATAGAAGGGCATGGGTTCGTCTGGACAGGTGGTAGTGGCTGCCCCTACTAGATTATACCATTCTGTTCAGGAAGAGTTAGGAATGATAATATTCACAATCTGCAGTAAATCATCCACGGTTTTGAGAACGGATCGATCGATCTTCTTAAACTTTTGCGAATATCATGCTTCTATCTCTAACCTGCCTGATATTATCTGCTATCACTTCACAACTTGTCGACTTTTTTCCACTATCGTCGTTCTCTCCTGAAGTTCAAAGCGGTTCGCGGAAGGCTCAGTTGATCCCATCGTGGCGGCAGGGACAGTATTGTTTTTCCAGATACTACCAGTCATACTGTCGGGAACGCGAATAAAAAATATGCTCAAAACCAAGCCGACCACACAAAGAATTACACAAGAGTAGTAGACGCTCTGATAAGCAACATGGCTGAAATCACCAGCTGGCACATCTGGCGGGCCCAATTTCCTCTCGATACCTTGAGCAATGGCAGTGAGTACAGCAAGACCTAGGATCGAACCTCCGACTTGGAGCGCAACGTTAAAAACGCCAGCTGCTGCCCCTTGATCGGATTTGGAAGCAGAAGAGACGACGACAAAGTTGGCGGTGATGTAGACGGCACCAATACCAGCAATGTAGAGGATCATGGCGGGGAAGGTGAAGCGCCAGTAGGAAGAGTTGTCTTCGATGAAGGAGAAGAGAAGCACGCCAGGGATCGATAGCGACCAGCCTAGAATGAACATGACACGTGCTCCAAGGATTGGTACCAAGCGTCCAGCGATAGTGTTCGATATCAATGCGCTGACACCGAGTGGGATGAACAGGACTGACGTGTGGATTGGACTGTTGCCGAAGGATTGAAGTTGGACTGTGAGGAAATAAGTGCATGCTTGGCGGACAGCATAGGTGTCGATAGCTAGAATCAATGTGAGATTGAAACTAGATGACTTGAAGAGGTGAGTTGGAAGAATTGCGGAAGCCGCCTGGCGTTCGTACAGGATGAAAGAAATCAGTAGGAAGATCGAGACTACGAGCGTCGAGATGATCGGAGGGGAGCCCCAGCCATCTTGGTTAGAAGACGTGAGTGCGTAGGTTAAAGTGATGATCCCAGGGAGCCCAAGGAGTATTCCAGGGGCGTCAAATCGAAGGAGGCGCTCTTTAATGTATTTCAGAAGTGGTTTCGAGTTCGTAGGCTGGTCATCGTTCGATGGAACTTCAGGAGATGGCGCTCGTCGATGTCTGGATCGATCTACAGCGGGTAGGAACAAATACGTGGCAGGAGTTACCACCCCCGAGAATATCAAAGACGCCCAGAATATCCAGCGCCATCCAAGCAAGTCCGTGAGAATTCCACCTAAGATGAGGCCAATACTACGAGCAAGTTTAGTACGATACTCGGGAAACTACACGCGTGCGTAAGGGTACTTACATGAAGCCGAGAGAACCCGACGCACCCCAAATTCCAAGAGCGCTTGCCTTCTTTGCTGGATCGGGAAAATGAATCGCAATATGAGCTTGCGCGGAAGGAATAGTAAAAGCGGCGCCAATCCCTACGTTGGGTGTTAGATGCACCATTGCGGCTGATTATCATGACTTGGGGGCTTGTTTACCTTGGAAAGCTCTTGCGATCACGAGACCAATGAACGTCGGCGTCAAAGCAGATACTAGGGTGAACAATGCGAAGAATGACATCCCAAAGAGTAACATTGGTCGGTGTCTGTAATTACACATCAGTTCTGTATCAGTGGGATTTTCAGGTCTCATTCCTAAATGATTGACGTACCCAAAAATGTCACAGTGCATACCCAACAGAAAACACCGAATCAGAAGTACTGACCGTCAATGCATATGCTGAAATGATCCATTGTAAGTTTCCGGTTGAGATGCTGAATTCTTTGCGGAGGGTGGGAAGAGCGATGGTAATAGCACTTAGATTTGCGAGATCAAGAAACATGGCAGAGCATCTGAACGCAACTTCGATCAGCAATGCTCAATTTGTAAAGTTATACATCAGCTCGACTTTGAACTTCTATCCCTTTGTAGTATGTTGGTCTTTATCAATTTTTTGGTGCGACAAACTCTGGGAAAAGGACGCGCTGAGGGACAAACTCACACCACTGCTAAAATGAGCCAAGCATTCTCCTGTTGCCTCAATATCGCTCTCTGTAACGAATTGAAAGATAGCAAACCCATGATCGAGGTAATTTGCATAAAGGAACTTGAAGACGTGATAATATGAAGAGGGAAGATAGAAAGTCAAAGGGCACGTCTGGAGAACTTTCAGAAGATGGGACAGAGAAGGGTTTATAAGTGTATTTTACTTTATGGTGAATGACAGTAGTACAACTTGCTGGTTGCCTCATGTGGCTTACATGGTGTTGAAAAGATACCTACACACAGAAAACTCTGCCGGTATGACTGTGCAGCTTGTACTCGAGTATGACTTCGGGAACTCATCACACGCCGAGCGGTGAAAGACGCTAGAGCGGAAGCGGTATACCCATCGAAGGGGTTGCATAAATCGATGTCTACTTGGACGCAACATGTCCAGAATCCAGATCTTCGATGTTAAAATAAATATTTTACCAATTGTTAACAGGGTGGCCCTTGGCGGGGCTGATAGGTAATCTTACTTTGCACAACCTTATTTTCACTTTCGGTAGAACATATTTCGCATCCGGATGTTATATTAATTGGACTATTGATGACCCTCGACGGTGTGGCCATCGAAGGGTAAGAGCAGCATGGTCGCAGAATCTGGAAGGAGCTCCTCGATTAGCTCATGTGGCAGTGTCAATGATTTCGTTAATGCCGGCAAGATGCATCGACGCGACACCTTCACAGGAGAGAATAACATGGACGACGAGAGAAAGAATAGTGAGGAAGCACTGAAAGGCTCTGAAGTCTTTAATAGGTGTTCAGTCGATTTGCCCGTTCGCAAAGTATTGCAACAGACGCAAAGAGCGAGGTGGTGGAAGGTCTATCTCATGCATTTTCTCTTCATGTGGAATTCGCGGACCTACGAATATGCTTCGGTAATCCATCTTGATTCCTGACTCCTGTACTTTCCAAACACATCTAATCATCAAAATTTAGATATTTCTAGTCGCGTCAGCTTTCCCTAAGAGCCTTACTCCTACTTCAATCCGGTAAGTATCATTCTTTATACATCGGGCACGTACTAACTCTACTAGGAGGTTGGCATCCACCATCTCAGCGCTCCTCTGCTCCTCTGCAGTAGGTAGCTGGATTGATAAGTCGCCGTCACGGCTCCGTACTCTGCTCATAACCATATGTGTCAACCATACCGCAATTTTAGCTGCATATCTCTGTTGGCTTCGCTGCCCAACGGATCCTGATGATAGCTCCCAAGTCAAAGGGACACCATTTTCAGACCTCGCAAAAGGTATGCTTTTTGGAGGTATATTATTCCTGGATATTGTCCATGACCTTAGTGCAATAGGCTATAGGCTTTCTTTGGAACGAGACTGGGTGCCTGTTCTCGTAGGGCAGATTACTGCCGAGATGGACTTTAGCCTCACACAGGTCAACTCAGTCATGATGCGGATAGAATTAATTTGTAAACTTCTAGCACCATCTCTCCTACCCCTGATAGTCAAATCGTTCAATTCACCGACTGGCTGGATTTTGGCGATTGCTGCATCTACGATCTCCTTCTGGGCTTTTGGTGTCTACTGTGTCCAGGTCATTGCGCGGGGTAATGTCCAGCTTCAACTACCAAAGCAAATTTTCACCTTGCTGAATGGAGCACGCCAATTCTCCACTGAGGATACCTTCACCTTTCCTCAACTTCCATCGCGATCCTGGCCTAGGAAATTATATGGGTTTATGTACCGTGATCCCGTCACGCGCTTGAAGCATTACTTTTCGTTCCCAATATGGCCCGCCTCGATTGCGATTGCCCTGCTGCAACTTACAGTACTTGCATACTCTGCAACGCTCATCAACCATCTACTGGAGATTGGGTTCTCGCTGTCTGCTATCACCGTCGCCAGGGCATCGGGTTCTATTCTTGGGCTTTTGAGTACCATTATTACTCCTACAGCCGTCGCCTATCTGAAGAAAAGATATATCCGAAAGCTATCGCCCATGAGAAAGCGGAATGAAGAGGACGATAAGGCAGCCGAGGCAGCTGTTACAAGAACGGTTGGATTCTGGGGTCTCGCTTCACAATTTCTATGCTTGGTAAGATCCCCATTCTCTGCTAACTGTAAACTGACGATTTCAGATTCCAGTAGTTATTTTGTTTTGGAATGCCTCGGATAGAACGATGGGCGATCATGAAACGGTTGCTTCACCGCATGTCTTGATTACTATCACGCTGTTTGCCTTCCTATCATTGTCACGCGTCGGCCTCTTCGCAAACTACCTCATGGTCCAAGAATTGGGACAAGTCGAGATACCGGTATCGCAGAGATCTACGTTTGCTGGCGTGGAACAGTCTTTCAAGAGCCTCGGCGACCTATCCTACTGGTTGGCAACAATAGTTTGGAGTCAGCCAGAAGACTTCCGATGGTTGGCTCTTGGAAGCTTTTTGGTCACTGGCTTGAGCGCCGGGTTGTTTGGAACATGGGTACGCACTAAGAAGTCAAGTTTTGAAGGAAGAGGAGGCAAGTATCAGAAATACCTTTGACGGACGTGAATAACAATGAACATGAGGAGAGCCGAAATTTGAGACGACCTTTTGATTGCAAGAGTTGAGCTATTATTGATTGCGATGACTTTAGTAGGAAGATATTCATCAACTTGGCCCCGTAGAGCTCAAGAAATCGAAGTCGGCTCCTTCCTCAGCCTGATTTACAGACCTCTCATACAAGCCTCTGTACCCCCTCTTTGTCTTCCTCTCTTCCCAAACACCGCCGCTCTTCCGCTCAGCGACACGCCTCTCAATTTCTTGATCGCTCACCTCCAAATTCAAACTCCTGCTCTCAATGTCACAGCTTATAAAGTCTCCATTTCGAACAACCCCAAAAGCCGAGCCAGGGACCACACTTTCCGGGCTCACGTGTACCACGATGGTGCCGCCCGCAGTTCCAGAGATCCTCCCATCACTCAGCCGCAGCATATCTAGCACACCTTCTTCCGCCAGCTTCCTTGGAATTGGAATCAACCCCGCCTCGGGCATTCCAGGATTCCCAATTGGGCCAATTCCCTGGAGAACCAAAATAGAGTTTTTCGTTACCTCCAAATCTGGATCGTCGATGCGCTGCGCTAGGTCTGCAGAATCAGCGAAGACGACGGCTGGGCCGCGATGTGAGAGAAGGTGTCGGTACTTTGAGGCGGACGCTTTTATGACTGCGCCATTTGGGGCGAGATTCCCGCGCAAAACTACAAGGGAAGAAGCCGGGTAAAGGGGTGATGCTAGTGGTCTGATAATTGCACTCGAGAAGGGGAATGTGTTGAAGGGTGACGCGTCGAGAACTTCGCCCATAGTTTGGCCCGTTATAGTCATGGCAGAGAGGTGGAGAAGAGGCTTCAGAGTATGCATTAGAGCAAGCATACCGCCGGCATTGTGGAAGTCGGTCATGTAGTTGTCGCCGCTTGGTTTAAGGTCAACAAGTAGCGGGACATTCCTTCCAACCTCGTCGAAAGTCTGAAGTGTTATCTGGCCTTGCACTGCTGGGTGTCGATTTATTATTGCCATGAGGTGGACGACTGCATTGGTGGATCCTCCGATAGCTTGGAGAACCGTGATGGCGTTCAAGAAAGATTCTTTGCTGAGCATCTCTTGGGGCGTTCGATTATTTGCTGCAACTGATACTGCATTTGCTCCTGTTTCTTCTGCGATTCGAAGACGGGTTGAGGAGACTGCTGGTGCTGAGGCACCTCGGAGGGGCATGAACCCCAGAGCTGCTGTAATGCATGCCATGGTGCTTGCAGTTCCCATGACTCCACAAGTTCCAGCCTAAACAGTGTCAGAACATGCATGGATTAAAATGTAAGGAAAGAACAGAACCCACCGAGGGAGCTAGCTCCTCGTTCAAATTACCAATGTCTTCCATATCGATTGAGCCAGCCCTGTAGGCTGCCCAGTTGCTTCGACAATCAGTACACGCTCCCAGACGTTGTCCACGGTGGCTTCCTGGAATCATCGGGCCTGTAACAAGAGGTAGTACCGGTTTATTTGCAGATATCCCGCCCATGATTTGAGCAGGAACCGTTTTGTCACAGCCTATATAATTGTTAGTAAATATCATGATCTGTCAACCAATCTAGTCCAAACCTCCAATCATAATGCAAGCATCCAACGGCTGTGCCTTGATCATCTCCTCTGTATCCATACTCATCAAATTCCTCAAGAACATACTCGTAGGCGAAGAAAATGATTCATGGAGACTGATCGTCGGGAAGTCAACAGCCAATCCCCCGCTCAATTGAACACCCCGCTTTGCGGCTTCAATCAGTTGCGGGACATTGGCGTGACATGGATTGAGGGCTGAATACGTGTTAATAATTCCTATAATTGGCCTCGATAACGCGTCTTCGCTGTATCCAAGGGCTTTGATGAAGACCTTTCGTAAAAACAATGAGAAGTGCGCGTCCCCGTACGAAGTAAGCCCTTGCCTCAGACCCGAGGTAGAAGAAATGGGCTTGGAGAGGTCGTAGTCATCTTTGTTGAATTGACTCATTCTGAAATTCGACAAGAAATGGGGTTTGCATAAGAAAATAGAGCAGAATAGGTATGTAAGTGCATAGCAGTCAATGAAGAAATAATACGAGCTGTATGATTGACTGGCGGTTGCGAAATACAGTAGCTTTAGTTTCGGGCGGGGAACCCGCTCACCACCCCATTTACATGCGGAGATTCCGCACAAGCAAGCCCAGCATACCAATTGAAGGTAGTGCAGTTCCAGTATAAAAGAAGTCCTTTGACTAGATTTTTTAATTCCTGATGGAATACATCCTAAAAGTCCTCTTCTGACCAAATGTTGAGACTTGACGGGAAAATCGCAGTTATCACTGGCCTCGGTCAGAGTGCCCCTGGAGGATGGGGCATCGGCGCTTCAATCGCAGTGCTTCTAGCACGACAGGGCGCTAAAATATTCGGCGGCAACCGCACTCTCGCATCCGCCATTGCGACGAAGGAAAAGATCGAGGAGGAAGGAGGGATTTGCGATATCTTAGAGACAGATGTCACATGCTCGGATTCTGTCAAGGCCCTTATCGATGCGTGCATGGCCAAATATGGACGCATCGACATCTTGGTGAATAATGTCGGTCGTTCAGAGCCTGGGTGTCCGGCGACGATGTCTGAGGCAACGTGGGATTCGCAAATGGATATCAATCTCAAGCCTGTCTTCTTGGCTTGCCATCATGTCCTTCCGATCATGGAGAAGCAGGGCAGTGGCGCGGTTGTCAGTGTGGCCAGCATTGCGGGTTTGCGGTATATTGGAAAACCTCAAGTCGGATACTCAGCGTCAAAGGCGGCCATTATGCAGTTCATGAAGGCTACTGCTGTAATCTACGCCTCGAAAGGAGTAAGGTTGAATACAGTGGTCCCTGGATTGATGGATACGCCGTACACGAAGAATCTATCAACTCGATTTGCGATCGATGATGGGTACGAAGCGTATATGAAGATGAGGAATGCGCAGGTTCCAACTGGTAGGATGGGAGATGCCTGGGATGTCGCGAATACTACTTTGTTTCTGGTATCGGAGGAGGCGAAATATATAACAGGACAGAAGATTGTGGTAGATGGCGGAATCACTTCTTCTACTGGAAGAGCTTGAACCATCCGTTGCGAGTAGGGAAATAGGCTATTTAGGGGATGATATTAAGCGAAAGCCTCTATCTTATAGGGACTTTGGCGAGTTTGTAGGCATGTTATGTGCCGAATCTAAAACACAATAGGAATTACCATGAATGGATAATAACATCTTGTATTACTAGGTATACGCTAAATTGAATAGTTTCCAACATGTTTATTCATAGGCTACTAAGCTGCACGGCAAATTCCGAGATTCGAAAGTAAAATGATGGTCGATGGATTTTCCGTCCCGCTGCAAAACGGAGCCTAAACTGTTTGCCGTTCTTGGAGTTGCATTACTCCGTGTCGATATTAGATGTGCTTCTTCATAAACACAGCACCCCACCACCAGGTTTTTCCTGTGGAGTCAACCTTCGAGAACGCCTTTTCCTCGGTGTTATAGGTTTGATAGCCCCTCCTAGCATACCATTCGTGGTTGGAGAACTATACAGAGTTAGCACAAAGCCTCTTTACACTAGAAGAGTAATATCACTCGCCTGTGGAATCTCCAACCCAAGAGCTTTATATTTCTCAACCGTTTCTGGATCGTCAGTGGTAATAGCATTCAGAGCCAGTATTTTAGCACACAACGGCTCTGAAGTCGCCACGTTCTCGACAGTGTCCATAGTCTTTCGTCCCAATCCGCTTCCATGAAGCGCACGTGAGACGTAGAGTATTCCGATCCAGTACGCCCCTTCTTCGTTAGTCACCCCGAGATTTTCATAGGCAGCAGGGACACGGCCCAAGGAAATATGGCCAACTGGGATAAACTTTTTTTGAGGTAGGGGAACAGCTCGCGGTTTACCCCCAAAGAAAATCGCCGAGTCAAGTAGCGGCTCTTGTTCTTGGGGATATGTCTGGGTATGCTTGAGTAATTTGGCATCTCGATCGGGTTCTGAGTCTTCGAAGACCTAAGAATGTCAACATTTCTATTAAAAAATACGTAAAGTAAATTTGGGAAGGGCACTAACAATCCATTGCAGGTTCAACGTCCCAATTTCTTGGCGACCTCTCCATCCTTCAACGTCTTCCACGCTCCATCCGCATGCAATGCGTTGCTGCACCATCCGCTCGACATGATCAGGGGAGGTGGGATCCCACGGTATCAACAGAACCTGGGATGCCATGGTGGGTATACTATGAAAAAAATTGAGACTGAAATGAGTCGATATACGCTTACTTATAGGTAATTTCCCTAGGCAGCCTAGATTTATCGATGACTAATTCACTTCTCCCCTGCAACAGCGTGGTCCTACGCAAGTTCAGGAGTGTTACGCCATGGGCTGACTGCCAGCTTAGTATCGTATCTGAGTATAAGCAAAAGAAGTCCGCAGGGGAAGTGCTAGCGCGCCTGGAAAGGAAGGAGGGTATATTTTAATTTTTCTAAAAGAAGAGAATATATAATTATGCTATATGAAGAGATACCTTACGACTATATCTTTTTTACGCAAATTACATACTTCTCCTTCACCAAGCGTTCCTTTTTATTATTTTTGACCCTATATCTTTGGCAAAGTGGGCAAAAGTGGGTAAAGTTTAGATCACGCGTCAGAGGAAGAGGGAGACACTAGCCACTTCAATAGAAGGTATTAGCATCCTCTTTCAAGCAGAAGGCACCGGATTGATTAGCTATTACAACTTTAATATTCCACACTTTATAATTTCAATTTAAATTTATAGTCTCTTGGCAGAATATTTTATATGTCTTCTGTCCGCGCCCTTTCGATGACTATTTTGACATGCTTATGACAAGTGACTATTTTGACATGTTTATGACAAGTTACTATTTTTACATATTAATAACAGCGCTAATCTTGTGCCAAGCTGCATGATGAGAATAACCTTGTGGAATGAATGTGCAACTAGGTAATCTCCAACTCTCCCTTTGCCCTTCCTCTCTTGGTACCCCCTCAATGTAATGCTTAGATGTTTCTGTACTAGGGAGTACATAGTTGCTGCCTAGACTTGGTGCAGCAGGATCTGAAGTGGCAACGTCACCAGATATAAAGGATGTCTCACCAATCGTCAAGTCCTGGATTTCCAATCTCATCCCAGCCTCCCTCTCCCTAATCCTCCTTTACATCTACTGCACCTGCCATACCCGTGATACGCTGAAGGAACCACTGCATTTCAAGAAGTGCAAAGCTTGGTAGTGGTCGCGCCTCTGAATCGTCTGTTTGGAGCTGGAAAATATCTCTGGATTTAACGGTATGGAATGGATTTCTCCGGATATCGAAGAGGGCGGATCTGCCATTAGTTTCAAATGCGCCGATGTTGTAGTCGAGATCCTTGGTGGATTGTGGTGTAGTGAGGAGGTTCATTGTTGCTTGATCTTCGTGTTTTGCTTGCCAAAAAAACTGGATTGTTATGGTAGTATGATCGTCAGACACAGATATTGGCTTTAGTGCAAATGCACCTCTATTCCATATGTTGTGTGCATCTCTGGAAAGAGTGATTAGATTTCTGGCTGTTTCGATGCCTAGATTATGTTCACCATTTGGGAATATTTCTGCTTCCCAAGCTGCAATCTTTTCTTTCGGCCAGAAATTGCTTAACATATGCCAGAAGCTATGTCTCGTGCCAAAGGCATCTGATTCCTCTTCTATAAGGCAAAAGGGGTAAATTTCCGCGATATCAATAGATGGCTGACCAGTAAGCACACAGCAATGATTATCTCGTTGAGCGACCTATGACATGTTATGAACAAGGCTAGAAAGTAAGGAGTAGAGCATATTAAGCTTACGCTATCTCGTACTGACCCAGATCGAGATATGCTAGTTTTAAGCCTCTTTGCAGGTGGGGAATCGGTGTCTTGTAGTGAGCCCCTATGGGAAGACGCTGCAGATCCTGGTCGCAGTATCTCCTGAGGCATTGGTGACATTTGCGGTGTTGTTGTACGTGACGATACCTGGGCAGATTGATTTCCTATAAAGCATTAGCTATTGTACAGGGAAGAACATGAGACCAGATACTTACAGCATCTCACCATTGCACGGCTTTGTCCAGCAATAACACGAATCGCTTCCGGACCTATCTCAGCAACCTGGACTAATACCAGTAGCATTTTCGTGTCACATAAGTGACATGCTGCCCAGAAATGAGGCGGTCCATCTCCAAATGCATCCTGTAAGCGCTGTAAAAGGCTGAGCCGTTCTTCGCTTGGGAGATTATAGTCTTCGTCTGCTTGTTGTGGTAATGCCATGGCTTTAGATGATGTACGCGTCTTAGATGGTTGAAATATGAAAGGGGATGAAGAAAGAGGAGAATTCGATCTCTGGTGGTTTGGCAAGATTAGTGTGGTGTGGTTCTGGTAGTCGCGACCTAGAACGTTATTTAAAGAGCGACTAAAAACAAGGGCCCAAATCCCTGCAAACATGATGTAATAGTTACTAGTATGAAGAGTTTCCACTCTAGGACATGAATATAGCAAGGTATTATACTACTCTCATTGTGCCTCGTACGAACGATGTTTTTCAGGTGCAGAGTTACCAGTCACGTGATCGCCTCGTTTTGGATTTCAAGGGCTAACTCCATTCGTAAGATGGTTCAGTTGTGCTTCGACTCCGCCTAGATTATCTAATATAACTTATAGTATTTAATAGTCTTCTCTATAAGAAGTCGCTACTAAAGAAGCCTCGGGGTATAGAGAAAAACAGGGTTGATTTTCTATATACTAGACAGCATAAGATATTGAAAGTTGATGGTAATAAGTGCCATTTTTACATCTAGTATACGAAGTATAAACGAGAATCCAAAAAAGCAGAAATATACTTCAAATAGGTCCAGACTCTATTGCAGGCTTTAGAGGTATAGTAAAAGGGTGGAACATGTTAAAGCGACCCCCTGCACGCAAACCATCCACTGCTTAGTGGTCGCTAGGTGCATTTTAGCATACGTATGAAATGGACGTTCAAAAGTACCCACTCCCACTGACTAGAAATCCACGAGAACCCCACCTTTTACATTTGTAGGGGGTTCGTCCGACGTGTCCCCTCCTTCAACTAATATTATAGAGTCTAGAGTTATGCTGGAACCTCAAATGCAGCTATTAATAGTTCTGCCTTAATTTCGAGCGATATATTTCGGGGACCTTTTCAACCACAACACGTGATATACCTACTGCTATTTAGGATCCTTCTGTCTTATGTATAGTACGGAGGGTGGCTGCTGTAATCTAATTCTCTTCCGAATTTTTTTTTGAATATCACTAATAAGTATAGTATTGTTATATTGTGATAGTATCCATTCTCGCTCACCTGCCGGACCCGATTCTGGACACGACCCCATTTGCACGTGATTCGTAATTCAGTCTTATCATTTAACTTTATCTTCCGTCTCGTGCGTTTCGTCTTAACCTCAACCCTCTCACACTACTCCCGCAGCCCTCTCCATCCGACAACCATCAGGGAGGCAACACCGCACGTGTTATACTCGCCAATGAAGAGCATACTATCGTACTTAGGAAGACTCTCTCCATGGAAGCGTTCCGCAACATCGACCTCGAAAACCGACACATCCAATACTAACATAAGCGACCTCCCTCCTCCGCCTCGCGAACTACTCCGGGGTCGCGAGATTCACGAAGTCCCCATCTTGTGACGCCGGATCGACCGCGAAGTGGATACGCCCCTTGCAGCTCTTTATCGTCTATACGAGCACATCATACTGGACCAGAATATTGAGATGCGGAACGAGCTTGAAGCCTTCTGGTTTCAACCTAGTTGGCCGGTCTGCGAAATTCCTGATCCTAAAGACCCAGATCCTGAGCGCTATGCCATTCTAGCCGTCATTCCAGCACTCTTAGTGCTTGCGTTCAACAAGAGGATCGAACTAGGGTTGCCACGGGATGCGCCTGCAATTTTCACCAGGGATCAATTGGATAAATGGCGGGCCCGAGAGCGGGAGTACGAAAAGGAGCCGGATTGGGCAAGTTGCGTGCCTCCTTGCAAACAGTTGTTGAAGACACCACACTGGAACAATGATCTGCGGGAATTTGTCTCGATCGATAGTTTCGACGATCACAGGACATCTCAAGAATTTGCGAAGAAGAATATATTGATATTGCAGCCACATATCCATTCCATATAAATTATCAGTTCTACCCGGTCCCCACGCCTACGACTAAAGATTACGTCTAATTTACAAACGACACAAGACCAGACGTTTAACACTGGACCAATCCGATTTACGGCCTCGAAATAGGCCGTGTCCCATATGTTGTCTTATATCCGTTGTTGAGTTGATCCAGTACTCCATCAGTAACCTTTTTCCCGAAGTCTCTACACCATTGTTTGATTTCATTGGCACTCACTGTCCGACGACTGTTGGCTAGAAGATACTGATGAAGATAAGAGACTGCGTCGGCAATATCATAAGGCCTAGCGTTGGACTCGCATAACCGATTCAACTTTCCGCAGAATGCATAAGCCCAGGGAGCCGCATATACTACGATTCCTCCCCTCGGACCTCTATACTGGTGCACAATGACATTTTGCTGTAGTGCACTCTGAGCAAGACGTGCCTGAATGTCACGACCCATGAGTAGCTGGGTTGCATTATTGAACCAATTGGCGCCGATTTCCCCTCGCTGCGAGCGTTCGCTGTGCGCGGCTGACCGAGCTGCTTCGTGGATGACAGTATGCTCTGCAGCAGTGGGAGTAGCAAGGAAGAAGTCGACATCATGTGTGGCGCGTCTGGATTGGAGATAGACAGTGTTTACTGCTCCTCCAACGGTTATGACGGTTGCATTGACACCCAGTTGATCCAGATACTGGCCCATATGATCTAAGGCTCGAATGATGGTGTCTCGGTCAAGATCGAAGACTTGGTGGGTGATGGGCCTGCCACTAGCATCTCGGTATGTTGGTGGAACCATGACGGGCCCCACCCGTTGGCATACTGGCAGTGTTCTGCCCTGAACGTTGAACCTGTCCCGGCCGAGCTGGCTTTGGTTTGGAGTGCCCACAGCCCATGACGATGACTGTTGTAACGTTAGCCTAATTCAATCCGATAGCTTCAAGGCCCACCTTAATAGACTGACTTTAGTCTCAGCTGGCTTAGTTCAATAGATGTGAAGGGGGAAGGGCCTGGATCTGGCTTGTCTGCGAGTTTTATACGTAAGCATTGCCGCCGGGGCTTATTGTTACCAACAATTACGAGTTCTGATGAGCCTTATTACACCTAGTTGGTTGCCTGCTTTATACTTCACAATTGGATGCCGATGCATCGTTAAGCGCCAGCCTCGATCTCGAAGTCAGAAAGGTTATAATTGTGGCCGGCGGTTCATAAGTCGGCCAACCAGACCTGAAATAGAAATAGTTATATGGAATTGATACGATGGGTCTTCAATGCTCTGCGGCATCGCCTTGCTAGCTATTATCCTAACTATCACAGGGACGGCTGGCGCTTAACCGCCACACAGGTGAAGACTTACTGCTCCTGCGATGAGATAGGTTCATGCATGAAACCAACATCCACAACCTCCGCAGATTGTCGACCTCCGTTTTCCTCAACTATGTAGGCCACAGCCTTTTACTGCCGGAAAATCCGAAATTCTATGGTTAATCACAATATCACCACCTAATTTGGCGTCACTCTCCAATTTTTTTCCTCACTGCACCCGAAAGTTGCGGTGAAGAATCTGTGAATCTCAAGTCATCGCCTCTGGAGCTCGCTCTAAGACAGGCGCTTCAATATTCCGGTAGAACAATCAATTCGTCATGGCACCCAAGCTTCAGATATCTGCGCCACTTGCCCTAACGGCGATTCCTCCTCTCACGGCATTTCAGCAATTCAGGTCTAGTCCATCACGCTTCATAGCTAATTGGCTCTATGCGCACCGGCCGCGCATTGCATCAACACCGCCGACTCATTCATCGACAGCGGTGGCCGGTGTAGGAGACGAAGTCAGGGATTTGATAGCACTGGTCTGCATCTCCGACACGCACAATAGCACCCCCTCTGGAATCCCCAATGGCGATATTCTCGTGCATGCGGGCGACCTGACTAATAAAGGCACCTTTACAGAGCTTCAGGCCCAACTGGACTGGATCAACACGTTACCACATCCACATAAGGTTGTCATAGGCGGGAATCACGACACCCTCCTGGACGAAGAATTTATCACTGACCATCCCTATCGAGTCGAGCCTGGCGATGTTGACCGCCGACATCAACTTAATTGGGGTGGTATTAAGTATCTGAACGGGAACTCTACAACGATCACTGTCCGGAAGCGCAACCTCACATTCTTTGGATCACCTCTTACCCCTCAATGTGGAACCTTTGCGTTCCAGTATCCGCCGATACGGGACGTGTGGAAGGATCGCATACCAGATGGAACGGATATCATTTTGACCCATGGGCCGCCAAAGGGACATCTAGACCTTGGAGGGAAGGGATGTGAGTGGCTGCTGCTTGAGCTGTGGCGGAGCAAACCGCGTGTGGTAGTGTTTGGCCACATTCACCAAGGCAGGGGACAGGAGACTTTAACGTGGGATTTGATTCAATATGGATACGACTTTCCGGGTTTCTTGAAGGTTGTGATCATGGCACTGACATTAGGTTGGAGCTGGGCTGGAATAATATTCGGGAGAAGAAAAGCAGAGAGGACAGTGCTTGTCAATGCAGCGGTGGAAGATAATGAGGCTTCTATGAAGGTCGTACACGTCTGAATGATCCCTAGCTAGGTTTGATCTGCGTGCCTCTCGCACGGTCAAAGACCGAACAAGTATGGAGATGCTCGTTTTTCACGCCTCTTGTTCAAGGCTTAGATGTAGCTGTTCATAGTCTTACTTCTAACTCGATATGAAGCAATGCGTCCTGTGTATCGAACCATTTTCAGTCACGGCACGTGCTATGCCCCTGTCCCCTGTGCAATGCTACTTCTTCCAATGTACGTACGATGATCACACCATGCAGCCTACCCTACCCGAGGTCTTCTACCTGATAGGTGGCAAGGGTTTCATAAGCGCTAAGTCACCACCAACTCTTTTCAAAATCCTGTTTTATTACCGATATTATCTAGTGATTTCCTATATTATTTCTCATGCTGAAAAGAATAGCATCTTGCGAAAGTTAGTCAGTATCCTAAGCATTATTAGAGCAGCAAAAATGGTTTCCGAAGAAATAGTTCTTTCTGAGAATGGGACTTTAGCTCCTGAAAGCCAGGTAAGTTCATCTTCTAGTTATTTGATATCAAGCAGCTTCAGTTACTAAGCAGGGGATCCTAACAGCTCAGTGCTCTTGATATAGGCACTTCCCCACCTCCCTATTCATCAAGTGGTGCAAACGCAGCACTCCAGACTAGTGTTCTTAATGCACCAGGCAATGAGACCCTGAAATTGATGACAGAAGAGTTCAATAAAGAGGCAGCAAACGTCTCACTCCGACGAACAGATATCGAGTGCACTCGCTGCAAAGCCTTAATTGGACCTGTCGAGCATCATTATGGCTGTTTGAGATGCAGCCAGTCTTGGAATATCACCTGTGTCTGCCAAAAGTGCTACGCATGCGACGAGATATGTTTAATTCACAAGGTGGAGCTTGTCAAAAGATATGTCAAGTCTTGGTCAGGTCTCCATGCAGGGTAAAATTACGTCGATCCCACCGTCGCAAAAGGAGACGACCACCTGATTCAAGCACTCAAGGAAAACGATCAGGATAGGGTCGGCCACTTTGCAAAGGATAGTGAACTCCTTAATGCGCATGGCGACCTGGTTCACTTGGGCTATACTCCTCTCCATGTAGCCGCTCATCTCAACCTTGAAGAAGGCGCCAGAACTCTCATACAACATGGCGCGAACCTCGAACCCAAAGACCAACGGGATATGACTCCGCTCTTAGTAGCCGTTGAATGCGGCAATGTCGGAGTATTCAAAGTCCTACTAGATAGTGGTGTAAGCATTACCTCCGCTAGTGGTAAGTATGCTTCGACTGCCTTGCATGTGGCAGCCTCAAATGGAATGTACAATCTCATAGCCTACATTCTCTCACTCAAGGTGCCAGTGGATCTCCCTAGCGGACAAGGAACTGCTCTCCAAATTGCTGCCATGGCCGGTTCTATGAGATGCGTTAAGATCCTTCTCGCAGCCGGCGCAGACCCAAATGCCAAAGAAGGAACATTTGGAGCATCTCTCGTCTCTGCCGCGCAACAGAAGCGGGGAGATGGAAGAGCTCTGTGTGAGATTCTACTCAAACATGGAGCGAACGTTGATATTCAGGGCGGCATCCAAGGAGCCGAAAAAGACGAGAAGGACCTCACTCCACTAACAGTTGCAGTAGTCCTTGCTAAATGTGATGTATTGGAACTATTGCTTCAATATGGCGCTAACATTGATGCCAAAGACTTGTCGGGGCTCACGGCGTTGATGCGGGCTTCTGCATTAGGCCATATAGAGGTCTGCAGGACATTGCTGAATCGAAGAGCTTCTCTTGAGGGGAGTCAGGGGACTGGAAAGGCTGCCATCTCGCCATTGACTTTCGCGGTGGCACATGGGAGAGAGGAGGTGGTGGATCTTTTGCTTGAGTGGGGTGCGAGTGCAGTCCCCCCACCAATTATGCGTGGGAAATGGAAGACAGTGGAAAATTGGAATATGTTCAAGAAAGTCCCGGTGGAGCGAAAGGTAAGTATTCTGAGGAAGGTGAGAGCCGCAAAGAAAAGGCAACGGGCTTGATATAGTAATAGTGCCAGGATAAGTGTATCGAGTAAGTCCAGAATGCGGAATATATCATGGACGCCACATGTTGCGAAGACATTAAATATTATACGCAGATGGCCACGTCTCATGGCCCTGCCCCAATGTGGCATCTACCACACTCGGAAGAAATGGATGATAGCTTTTACCTGATGTTAAGACTCCAGTGAGCACATTACCTGCTAAGATCCTTCTACTTTAATCTTGCCCCCTCCTTGTAGCAATCTTTATAGAATGCCATCTTTTCCTCCGCTTTGGATCTCAACCTATACACTACATCTTTCAACATAGAAGCTATATTTCTCGCGGCCGTAAAAGAACAACAAAGAAGGAGCGAATCATTTAGCCGGAGTTGTCTCCTGTAGGGTGTACGAGATCGGGAATTGATAACGTCCTCAATTCGGGTCGTAACATGGCGCTCGATCTGAAATCCCCTCTCGATCGTGAACGGAACTGTCCCATCTTCCCTTGCGATGTGCTTGCCATTCGACGTACCAACTCGGAAAGGACGTGGAACTTCAAGCATGAAATTTCCTCCCTTCAACTCGATGTCCATCAGAGGTTGGAGAAATAAAGGCTCTAGATCAAAGCCGAGATGAGAGCTATTGATTTTGATACGCAAAGCCTTCAGGGCTTTCATAGACGAAAGAATCGAGCAAACGTGCAGCCATTCTTCTTCCGACGCCTGGTAATATCGTTTAATTTCTGCTAAATCCTTGCGCATACTAGATGTAGTGCGGGTTGTGTAGAAATCAGGAACCTGGATTGACATGAGGTCTAGAAATCGGATATTTCCTAGGGACTGTGGTGGGACAGTTGATAGAAAACGATGGGTAGCCTCAAGGCCTGTTAGCGAAAAGCTATATGATGAGTACAATACTTCAATAGCCTCGGAATAACTGGTCCAAGACGTGTTAGAAGATCTTCATGGAACCTATTTCATATGGTAGAACTATGCGATGGTTGAACTTACAGTCGTCGACAACTCAAGAAAATAGAAACACGGTTTTTCGGCAAGCCGTCAACTAGCGGACTAATGACAGAAATATCATTACCGCACCAGCTGTTCGTAACGATTACACTATTGATATCGTGCTCTTTCCAGGAGTGGAATTTTGATGGGTTTTGTATGATGTTTGAGCCATCGTTTGACAGCACGGCTTTACCAACAACGGTGCCCTTCGAAGGACACTCGCAAAGCACGAACGCCAGTCGGACATCTCCAATATAAGCAGGACGTATGCGATTTAGTTGTTGGGCCTGAATGATATGAAATCCATCTCCTGGTCCCCATGTTCTAATCACTTCCCCGTAAATCTGGCGTCGGATTTCCAAGGGCAATTTGAAGAGATTGGCTTGCACCTGTTGATGGATTGGATATCGATTCAAGTTAAACCACGGAGAAGAGTTTGGGCACTTCAGTTTTGTTTTCAGTGGTTCTCGATGGTTCGACCGGAGCGTTCGTGGTAGTCCGTGACTAGCTGGACGTTTCGCGCCCATTTGCTGGAAATGGGGATGGATATATTGTGGGATTGACATCTTGGAGGTTAAACCACAATTGATCTATTGATTATCACAGCTTTGCTTTAGAAGTGGGGTTGATTTGATCGTATTAATATGAGGAAGGTCAGGTGGCGTGCGCGATATAAGTTGCCCGCCGCAGTAGATACAGCCAGAGGATATAGGGCGCAGTAAGGCCCCTTTGATATTTCGACACGTGGCTCTGCGTCAACTTGATCGTAATTCTTTGAATGCGCTTTGAAGGAGTCTATAATGATATCTTAAATTCACTTTCAAATGATTATATTCCGAGTTTTTGTCACGTGAGGTAGGGTGCAGCTGAAATGGCCCAACTTTTGCATAGCATAAATAATGCCAAGACGCTAAGCATAATTCTTCCTCGGCAGCTTACTACGAAGTACAGCATAACGTATCGGCTTTTCTCTCTCTAAGTCCCTCTGCAGTACAGTAGAGTATAGAGATGATATAATATTATTAAATCAATTGTTTTTGTTAGGATAAGGGCTGTATCCCGACCTTTCTAGTCATGTGACCTAGCTTAGTCAGCGAAGAGGCCACCACCTCTTCGCGTCTCCCCTTTCCACTTCTAGACATCAATCAAGAACAACCAACCGCGAAGACCACTCTTTACTAGCTAGTAGTACGAAGTGATTATCACGACATCTGTGATACTAACACTAGAGCTTAAGAACGATAATAAAGAATAACCCAGGCTTTTAGTAGCCTAGAGGTATAGCTATAACTATTATAAGCGCTTATAGTATCAGATGTGCGAATTATACTTTAGGTCGGCTATCCGGTATCCTTCCCCGGCCCCGGCGTAACACACGCTTACTAAAGCTCTCTATGGTACTGTACTTGATTAGCTGTATATAAAATGATATATCATATCGACTACCGGGGAAGCAACCCGAGTGAAACTCCATGTGCATATCAATTTACACTAGGAGAAGAACATAGTAAATATGCAATGACCATCCCGCGGAAGCAAGCTGAGTATCCAAGCCAATCACCGCCGTAGCCGCCATGCCAAGCCAAGGGGATTGGAAACCGATTGCTAGGACTAGGCTGATATCCAGAGTGCCACGGCTAAGCTAGGCGCGCGAGAAAGGATGAGGGGTAGTGAGGAGGAGAGGAATTTCAGGATGGATCTGGAGAAAGCCTTCGCGAAATTTGCTACGTACTAGTTCAGTATTGGTTGGGATATATGTCACGTCTAACACGTGACCTTAGTATCGATGACTAGGCAGCGATGAGGCCTTTCACTTCATCGCCGCAACCTTAGCTAGAAACCTTTTCTACACCCAGAAGTGCAACCACGTAACCACCGATAAACTCGGTCGAGTACGAGAATACTAGGCCAGACCAGTGCACTATGTGTATACCAACAGTATTTAGGAATATCTTTAATTGCATTCTAAATCCTTTTGAATACCAGATAGCAGATATAAATCCACCCATTCATTAATAAAACATACTAATCATCCCCTCGCCATCGCCTATATTTCCAAATTCCTCATCCCTCGTTATCGTCGGGATCCACCTTCAAAACCGTATAATCTCCCACATAAACGAACACCAAAAACATTGTCTTCCTCGGATACCGCCGCGGCTCATTCTTGAGAATGGACTTCAGCTTACGCTGTATCTTTTTCCACGCCTCTTCTTCAGCATCTCTATTCGCGACAAGTGCGGTCATATCGTCCCATTGACATATAAAGGTCACTTGTGCGAGAGCTTCTTCAAGTGGTTGCCCGGAGCGGGTTGCGACCAGAGTGAAAATGTCTGCGAGGCTGAAATCAGAGAGTTGTTCGAAGGAAACTAGAGCTGCGGGATCGTCGTCTGGAATGCCGTCTACGCCTTGAATAGCGAATTGGAGAGTTGGCTTCTTAGGAGTGACAGGTTTAATCGAGTTTCCGTTTGCGACAACCGGGGCTCCGTTTGATTGAATAGGCTGGCGGGTTTGGAGAGCCGAGCGGTTAAGTGCGTAGGGCCTGCTTGGTGCCTCATTCACGACTGTGAGATCTATGGAGTCTGGGACATTGGATGGCGGAGGCGTGTGCTCCACACTGGTCGCTGGCATATTGACTGAGTCAGATCGGCTGATTGGGTTTGGTAGTGATGTGTTGTTATGACAGACAGCGGCCGAAATAGACTGGGTCTGAGCAGGCACTGGTCTGAGAGATTCCTCTATGCTTGCAGATAAAATGATGTTGTCCGGCCGCCTTTGACCGCTATTTGTGGGGTTAGAGGCACTGGGGAGACATTCTACAGCTGGAGAGGACCTAGTACTTGTAGAAATATTGTTGTTGGAGTCTGCAGAAATACTGGCCTCATTATGAGCAAGCGCCGAGTTGATAATTTGCCGATCATTTTCGCTGGATCTAGGTGGTAGCGTAGGTTCGATCGTCGCGGAAGACTTCAGCTTTTGCAAGCTGGCTCGAAATATTTCCGATGCTTCGACGATAGGAGCTACAGCGCTTCTAGATGATTCGGACCTGTCACAGAGGGTGCCATCCCATGGTAGGAGCTCATTTTCGGTAGATATGCTTGGGACAGTGGGAGTGGATATAGGTCTCTCTTGCGCCAATGGTGAAAAAGTCGCAGATGACTCGATTTGTTCGGATGGTTCGATATCCATTGCAGAAGTAGATGATGTGGGATCTGGAACGGAATTCGTAGGAGGGGGGAGATAGAGCTAGACCAATCCCAGGTATCACGAGGAAGACCATCATTAGACTTATGCGTTTCGTTGAATTGATCGGCTCGCGGTTCCTGAACTTTATATTAGTTCTTGTTCCTAAGCTTGGGAGGAGGATTTGAATAGATACTGACCTGAACAGAAGCGTGCATTTCTGCATTCGCAAATCCGGGTGGATCGACAGTGATATTTGAGCCTTGTAGTCTCTCGTTCTGGTCATGGTTCGATCGGTGTCGTTTTTTGGGAGGGGCTTCAGCTGTTGGCGAGGAACTTTTGGCCTGAAAGTTTGTTAGTGTCGGACTACGATAGGCTGACAAGAAAAAGTCTATAGCATACCCTTTTGTGATTAGTGAGGGCGGGCAATGGACCACGACGCAGTTCAAGGAAGTCATCTTCATCGCATCCTTGGATAGTGTCCAACCACTCTTGTCGTCGAGCTCTCCAAGCTGCTTCAAATTCCGGGGTCTTTGTGATCACCCCATCAACCTTGTGCAGAAAACCAAAGCCACCCTTATTATACTCTTGCAAGTGGGAAAATATCTTGTTTACAAAGCGCTGACACATTCTTTCCATATGCAAACGTTTTCTTTGGTTATAGTTCCTCCCAACTTGACTGCAAAGGTCGTCGACAAAATGGGTGATGGCATGCTCGTTCGGAGGACGTAATTGATAGAGACAGCGCTCGTGTAGATATCGGAACACAAATGGATCTATGTTATTAAGGTCAAATTCGTCAAGATTGTCCTACGGGAAATGGTTAGCCAGAACGAAGTTACATTGCTTTAAGAGAAAGCCGGGGATTTATTACCTTGAATAGAAAATCGATAACTGGGGGCACTGGTGGTACCGTAAGAGGATATGTGTACTCCAGATGAACTCTAATATTCTCTGTTACATATCTGCAGAATGTTAGCATTTCTAGACTCCAGATGAAGGCGCTAGAGTCTTACTTGGCAGTAGTTTCGTTTCGGCGTGAGGAAAATGAATCCGCAGTTCCTCTACTGCGAATCTTGCGATATTTATGAATTCCATCATTGGACCTAGCCTCTATCTCCTCTCCTATATCATCCATCTTTGACTTTCATCAGCAAGAACACAAGCATGGGAACATGGGGTAAATACCATTTCTCTTGCGCGCAGACCCTCCTTGTAGTTCTCGTTCCCTCTCCAGTTATACTCCTGGTAGCACATTAATGTGACCACCCCTAGAACAATTCTGTGTCAACAAGTTAGAAACGTGATTCTTTTCCAGGAGTGCAGTTCCTTCAATACTTACTTGTCCTTGTCTCGAGGATATGTTGGCCACCCACGTTTCAAAGCTTCGGCAGAACACTGAAAGAGATTGCGATGGAACTCCGCAAAACTCTCGGCACATTGAAGGGCCACTGTATCTTCAGTGTTCATAGGAAATGTCCCCTCTTCTAGGCCCGGAGTCTTCTTTATGAAACTCTTTCGAAAAGCGGCCGTCGCATGCGACAACTTACTCCATGATCGACCACAGGTCTTCTCACGAGGATATCCAAGATAAGCACACCAGTCATCGGTGCGAGTTTTGATAAATTCGTTCCGCTCTGGGATCTCATAGAGCATCATGTGAAAGTTGGGGGGTGTGGTGGAATGGAATGGACCACGAAAATATTTGAGGATTGAGCAGGTTTGGACGTTCTCAAATGTAGTCAAAGAGTGGAATAATGATGAAGAGAAAGAACGAGGGCTTCTGGTTGTATTATAGATAAATACGCGCCTATTTAGAGGCGACAGCTTGAAGAATACTACAAGGGTTGTTTTCTTGCATACCCCGTAGGCAGGTTGCGACGCCTGTGGGGCAGAAACAAAGAACAGCAAAATAAAGCATGGCATCTAGAATTTCGAGAGTTGCTGGGCTCATGTTCAACTCGACATATTCATCGAATCATATCAACCTTTGACAGAGGTTGGTACAAGGGTGGTTTCCTGCTACTCAGGTCGCTTTGACCCCTCTGTAGGCACAGCACTTTTTGTGAGAATGTTGCTATCCGAGACAAATCGGCAGCAGCCTCATAACGGCTTCTCAATCTTAGATTTAGCAGGAAATGACAAAAGAAGCAAGCGTTTGGAGTTATAAACAAAACAGCAAGTTTAGCTAATTGACCGTGAAAGAAAGAAAGGAACGCATTGGATAGGTTCTAGCAGAATTGAATCGGCTGTTTTGCTTGATCAAACGCCTGTCTCCTGCTGCCTCATGTAAAACCTTTTCCTCTTTATGCGCTATTTCGCCCCCGCGCGCGCCCTCCCGTCCATGAGCCATGGCGTCTAGGCTTCTGTGACATCAAATGATGTCTGGCCATTATAGGTCTCCTACAGAACTGCTTTTCAGGTTCATGATCCGATAGGATCTTGCGGATGCCTGCCACCTGAATCGAGGGGAAGAAATGATAGGTAACATATTAACAGAACTTTTCATGCTGCTAAGGAAGAGAGTGGCTTGATCTAGTGCGATTTTAGGATTGGATGGTAAGTCGTTACAAGGTTGATGGCCATGTCGAAAAGGGCAAGGACAAGGCCAAGCAGCTAGGATCCCGGATTGCGGGCGTTGGTTGGTGAGTTAGGCAAAAGTTGCCAGGTTTCTCATAGATTAAAGGGCGTGGTTTGCCTTTGGTTTTCGAACCATCGCAGACCTCACCTCCTTGGGAACTTGAGGAAGACAGTCCAGCGTTCGGGCGCTAACCCACAGGCTAATAAATATAGGGGCCGAACACTAATGTTTTGCGCGTATGGGACCACTGCGGGTTGTTAGTGGGTAGGGCCTTGAATTTAAGATAGATCGAATAACGGTACCTAGTTCTCTACTGGTCCGAACAGTTGTGAATTAATATGTCTAGGGTGTCCTGTTCGAGAATTCTTCATTCGTTCCCGTGAGCTTTCCTTCTAGAAACGCCAATTTAACGCTAAAATAGTCATATCTTTCTATTCATCCACCATACACTCATTGGATCAGATTCCTACTCAGCCTTGCCCTTCCAGCCTTGCTGATGAAGAGCCCACTTCACCGCCTCCAGAACATCACTAACAACGACCTTTGGCTTATATGCAGGTTTTGTTCCATCCTGGAAGACCCCCGTTTTGACTAGAACACTAGTCCACTCCGTACCATGTGCACTCTTGAAATCATTGGCGCCTCGAATATCACTCTCTGGGTTGTCACCAACCATAAAAACGTGGTCTAGCTGGCCGACTCTTCCCCCGTGTGCGCCGAGCATTTGGGCTCGATATTTGTTCAATACCCGCTCCGCATATTCGTATGTAGCTGCGTGGGGCTTCCCAATGACAGTGCGTTTCAGCGCTGCACCATTGGTCGTAGCGTCCCAGACTCCCTGCAGTGAAGCTTGAAATCCTCCCTGTCCTAGACGCGCCATGTGGTATGAAGTGGCCCAGAAGAGGTCGGGATTAGAGAAGAATAATTGCGGTTGACCATCTTGTTGCCAGCCGTTATTCGGGAGGGAGGGGTTGCCGTTTTTCTCGGACGTTGTGCCTAGAACTCCGTTCTTCGATAGTAGCAAATCGAGTATGATTTGTGTATCTAGAGCCCAGTCGCGTGGATCGTTGAAAACAAATACAGCGTCTATTTTTAGGGAGTGTGCGGGGTTTGTGTGGTCGATAGGTGTAGGAAGGGGCCGCGTGGCGGATTTGTAGTAATCGGAGAAGATTTGGTTGAATGGCCAGATAGCGGGGCATGCCATGATAATATCGCCAGGTGTGACGACGTTCTTGAATCCGTATCTTTATCATCCATCAGTATATCCTCATGGTAGAATTGTAGACCCAGGACTCTTACTGCTCGGCAACCTGTCGACATTGGTCTCCATCTCCACCAGTGACCAAAATAGTCTTATCCTGCAAGCCTCCCACCAGCTGTTTGAAGGGGGTATGTGACTGGACAAAATTCTCTTCTGTGAGGGGCACACCCAGCTTCTTGCTCAATTCTGCGACCCGAGCGCTTTCGTGCTTTCCGCCTCCATTGGTAAGAAGGATAAATGGAATATTGTGGTTGTATAGAAACGCCAATGCTTCGGGAGCGCCGGGAATCGGGGCAGCAGATCGCAGCAGCACGCCATCGATACTAAGGAGCTTTGATTAGCATGATGTCTCTTAGAGGTCGGCTTTCGAGTGAGCAGGTGGTGGTAGAAGAGACTCACTCAAAAGCAAAGGCAAAGCGAGACGTGCCATCAGGAACAACAGCAGAGCTACTGAAGCGCCGTTGCTTTGAGTGAGGTGCCATTTTAAAGAGAGAATTAGGCGAACGCGGTAATGATTGAGTCGAAAAGGTATTCGAAATAGTCGGGGGTGTTGAATTGCGGAGAGAGCTCCTAGTAGTATTTATGGATGGCAAGTAGCGAGGGTGTCGATGCCACAAACACTCGAGCAATGGTGAATGTGCATGGCGAGCCATATTCAATGGTGAAGTACATATTCGCATTGCGTGGCGATGGATTGAAAAGGTGGGCCGTGGGCGTTGGACGGTGGTGCGTTGTAGAGTCGTTGTGATACATTGAATAGCCAAAAATGTTGAACAATGAGACTATCTAAGAAGTGGGGCAAGGCAAGACATGGAGCTTATCAAGTGGCCCAAGCTCCTAGCGATCTCCCCCTTTTCTCCCCCCCCCGTTTCGGTTGAAAGTTTCTTAGTATAGTATTCCGAGCTCACCGAGTCTTACTTCCGGATCATGCTAGAGAATACCATGTAAGATGCCATTGTGCAAGTAACGCTGTCATTCAACAGATCGACTCAGAGCAAATCGGATTGTTAAAGGTTATCTGGTTCAATATGCATGCAGCCTTCCTTTTGTGTTACACAACGCAAAACTGATTGGCATTTCCTTATGATATTCTGAAACTTCTTAATCTATATCATTTACGATTGCCACGTCTTTACAATCTCAGGCCTTGCATCTGCAGTGGCAGTGACATTGGCGGTGAGAGAACAAGTCTCTAAGCTATGTGAGTCTCGTAGCTTGGACATTGTGGCACTTTCTTTGTTATTGTGGACAAGATTTTAGAAGGGAATATCTACATTTGGCGTTGATACTTATGGACAGCCAAGAGACCAACGGACTGTGGTGGTTCACGGAGTATTTGCTATGCCAGGGATTTTGTAGTAATATTTTTTATGTGTGATTCGTATTTGATCGTCCAGATTGCGTCTCTGAATTGCACAGCAAGTACGTGATTTCCTAAAACGGATTCTGGTCATGTTATAAGAGTAACTAATTTCATCCGAGCTAATTAGCTTGGGAAGAAGCAATCACTAATTACTTAAGCAGTTCTATGGCGTATTGGATCTAGCCATGCAACATAGTGCAGGTTCAGACAACATTTGAGAAGTTTATACCTTCGTCGTCGGTCACGTGTTCGCTGACCGCTACCAGTCACCTGGCTTGTAGTACGAAGTAAAAGAAACCTCTAATTAAAGTCAAGCTCCTTATTTCTTGGATAACTCGGCATACTGATTATCTGAATTCAGCTTTATTTCACTGGTTGCGTCATCTACTCGAGCAGTGTGTCAACTAAGAACTAGGCAGCACCCCACACCCCTACCAGTCTAATCTTTACTTGTTCTACACCTCTCCTCTCATCTCTAAGGCTATCCTCAACAACACTCCTTCCGTGATCGAGCAACAGTCTCCGGAAATATGGCTTCAACGGTGCACAAGCTAGATACCATTCCATCGGAGATTATCAAACGTGTCGCTGCATACTCCCCATTCAAGTCTGTGCTCGCACTCCTCAAAACCAACCGCAGGTTGCACCAGGAATGCAATGACCATCTTGTATTCAAGGATATTATAAAGAACGGAAACGGGTTTGATGCAATGCCCTTATGGGACATTAGCTTCCTCTCGGGAAATACATCCGCTTCCGAGTGCGCTCGTTTTGCCTTCGCTGATTCGGTGGCCCGAAGGTTAGTTGCTAGTGTTCGACTCGAGGATGAGAAAGGAAACGTGAGTTTGGATACAGATGGCGATGCGTACCGCATGATGCACTGGGCACCACATCTTGTAGCCCTTCACCATCCTTTTATCACAGACCCCGAGCTCCACGCAACAATGCTGGATGCTCAGCTAAAGCGAGAGAATGGCTGGGCGGCAAATCTGGAGGCATTAGCAACAATCAACTTTTGCGTCACCGCCAAAATCTTCCACTACGGTTCTTCATCTGGGCGTATTGAAACACCCGAGGAATTGGCGGTTGCAGCTAGGAATACGCAACAAATCGAGGCGTATCTGACGGGTTATCATGAATCTGAAAACACATCCGAGCCACTTGTCACTGCGGTTCTATCATGTCAAATCATCCAGGCCTTTCAACAATCTAGCATGTTCCTGCTCCCTTGTGTTACAAACATTCCATTCCCTTCATTCACGGATTTCCCAGTACCTTTCTCAGGAAACCCTTTCCACCACCCGGAAGAGAGCTATCTAGAATGTATGACTTCAAAGTCATTCCTCGAGGACGGCGAATGGGTGGGCTACTATAATTCCTCCGCTCGTCTTGGATCTGGACGATTTGACCCACCTATGACTGGTATCTACTTTGCAACTTCCACATTGGAGCCAGAGGAGACAGACCTGGCTAAAGAAAACAATGAACAAGACGCAGATACGACAGCGGCTCGGGATAATAAGGTGGAAGTTCTTCAGGTGAAAGCATTTGGTACAGATGATGTTAGTAAATTTTCACTCTCGGGCGAGATTCGTTCAAATGGCAGGATTGATATAAGGAAGACCTATGATAGGGGCTTCGGTTGGGATTGGGCTGCTTGGATGACACCCTTTGGTATGGTAGGCTTCTGGGGACATGCTCATACTGATTACGGATACTTCTGGCTGTGGAAGAGAGCATGGACAAGACAGGGGGAACTTTAGTTTCCATTGTACGACGGATGAGAACTCTTTGGATGTCCTACCGTACTGTTGCCAGCATGTCTGCGTTGAGAAGTAGGAAATGAGTGAGGGAATTTTCCAAAGGCGCCACCCGCTTAGAATGCGAGAACTTACTATAATAGCACAAGTCAAACTCTCAAATTTTGATATCGAAGTGTTCGTCACAATCATATGAAATATAATCTCTGCGTGCTATTCTACTATAAAACTACCACGCAACTTCTCACCAGATGCACAGATTCCTATGTATTACTAGCTACTAATTGAAGAGCTCCGTGGGCTTCTCAAACTCTGCTTTCCTTCCTCATAACCTATATATAGTGTTTCAGATCTCCTATTCGTATTATTAAAGACATGCCTATTACATTAGAAAGCATAGCTAGCCTAGCTAGAAAAATCATATAGGTGGAGTAGAAATATGCTTCCAATTAACTGGGAAAGCAGGGAATATAAGGCTAGAGAGCTAGATAGAAGTGTTCATCAAAGTGGAAAGTGTTTAGCGTAGCGTATAGTAATATCCGATAATGTTACCAAAATGTCTAATAATCGCAAAATGGTCTGATTTGGCTGCCCTTTAATTGTGAGGAATCGTAAGCAGGGTGGATTATACGGTAGAATCAGTGAGTAATATGACAACTTCTAAAGATCTTAGTGAGGGCGGTATATATGGCTTTTATGCCTCTTACATCATGACCATCCAGGTATGCCTCATCTGTGGGAAAAAACGTGACAGGTCACATTATGCACTTCCTGAATTCTCTGATCCTGACATCCCTAATTTTATAGGAAATAAAGCATATGACCTACAGAAAGCTGGAACGCTGAGGTACACCTCTGCAAAATCCTATACGGCGTATTTAATAGTTAATTGCGGCCGCGGGGGGGACGGTTCAGTAGCGCATTATGCGAAACAATTGTATGCTACAACAGACTATACGAGTAGTGCTTAGGTAAGCTTTTTTTTGGCGTTCCCACCAGTTCCCGGTATCTTTGCATACTCCCTCACTCCCTCTTCAAGACGTCGCATATTCTCGAGTGTCTTGTACTTGACATATGCTAGCATATTTATTATATGTAATGCTCAGGGCCGAGCCGCATACAATGCATGTCACATATTCAACACAGAGCATCGTCAGTTTTCTGACAAAATCAAGCTGGCCGGCATTTATCGCCTTTGTGGTCGTTCTAACCTCCCTACTCGTTCTCCGGTTCCTGGGCGCCAAAGATGTTGATCCAGAAGAGCCTCCAGTTGTCCGCCCCAGAATCCCATTCGTTGGTCACATGATAGGACTTCTACGCCACCATAATAACTACTTCACCCTTCTGAGGTATGTGAGATGTGCAATAAATATCTCCCATTGTGCTAATGTTAGTCTAGAAAACGTTACTCCGGACCAATATATACTGTTAAACTATTTTCCTCCAGAATCTACATCGTTCAATCGCCCGAGCTTGCGCACGCTGCTTTCCGTCAAAGCAAGACGATTGACTTCGAGACCATTAAAGGGTATGCTAGTTGCAAAGCAGTGGCATTTGGTCAGCATGCGACAGACGTAGTTAACTTTCGACCTCCGAATGGTGAGGACTCCTACATGTCCGACCTGCATCAAGAGATGTACGGATCGTTGGCACAAGGGCCGAATCTGCTGGAGACTAATTCCCGAGTGCTCAATTATCTTGCGAGATCCTTGAATGCCATTCAAACAACACCAAAAGAGTATCCTTTGTTTCGGTGGCTACGGGACGAATATACTCTTGGATCAGCAGCGACACTTTATGGATTGCCCAACCCTTTGTCAGAAGATCCAAACCTCATAGAATCAGTATGGTAGGTGAGCTTCTTCGTTCAAAATTAGCTTTTGTCTGATTTCTAGCTAGGGACTTTGAGCATGATCTCGGGGTGTTGGTTCTCGACTTCTTTCCAAAAATAACGGCACCCAAAGGCTACGCAGCCAGAAATGTCGTTACACCTGTTTTCGAGAAGTATTACAATGCGGGCCTTAACAAGAATGCCAACACTCTGGTCCAACGCCGAGAAGTGGCTGCACGTCAATGGGGCTTGACGACCAAAGAGATATCCCAAGCAGAAATCAGCATAATAATGGCGGCAGGTACTAACACTGTCCCCAACGCCTTTTACATGATTTGTCACATCTTCTCGCAACCAGACCTAGTCATAGCCCTTCGGCAGGAGATCAACAAAATCACAAGCCGAAAGACTCGAGATGGTATCGAGACTGTGGCACTCCATATCTCAATGCTACAATCTCATTGTCCGCTCATCACCGCGTGCTTCAACGAAACCCTACGGCTGAACAAAACAGGAGCGGCAGTCCGTACAGTTCTGGAAGATGTTATGCTCGACAATCGATATCTGCTTAAGAAGGGCGCTTTCGTCCAAATTCCCACTGGTTTGTTGCAATCAGACCTTAATGTCTGGGGGCCCGACGCTAAGCAGTTCAACCCTCAACGATTTCTCACGCAAAATTCGTTGCCGAAGGATGTCAGGAAGGCTCAAAATCAGGCTTACATGCCCTTTGGTGGGGGGAAAAACCTTTGTCCAGGGAGACATTTGGCGTATACTGAAATCGTGGCCTTTGTTGCTATGCTGGTGCTTGGTTTTGAGCTAAGTACGAGTGACGGAGGTAAATTGCACGTGCCGAAAGGTGAGTTTCAAAGGTTAGGCGTTGCGTCCATCTCGCCCGAGAAGGATCTAGATATTTTGATCACGAGAAGAAAGGAATTCGAGGATGTGACTTGGGAATTTGATACGGGTACTGTAATGGAATAAATATGGAGCAATTTACAAGGTAGAAAGAGATAAGTTTTTATTTATGAATCACCTGGTTGGATCTGGGACATTGAATTTGATGATGCCACGATTCTTTTATTGTTTTTTGTTTTATGACGAGTTCCACCCAAGACTCTCCACGCCCGCGCGGAGAAAGAAATCTATCTCCATTTGTTAACTAGCACCAAGTAACCACTCTAGGGTGCTTTTTTCTCACTCTCTGCCAGCTACCTCATTCTGAGACTGGCCTTATCGTTGCTTTGATCGCTCAAGCACCCGACATACTTGACCTGCAAAGATGTGCTGTTTAAGACCTTGGTCTCAGCGAGGTTCTTTCCACCGGCGCCCATGTTGAGAAGCATGCCATTGTTGACAAGGTAACCGATGGCCACAGTTCCGTTGTCGGGGCCGAAACTTCCATGGGCTCCGAGCCCCCCGATGGCAAAGTTGACTGTGCCGAAGTCTGGAAGCTTGGATGAGTCTCCCGACACGACAAAGTCTGCACAGCCTCCCTTGATGGCTGCAGTTGCTGTAGCATTTTGCTTGCTTAGGTAGCTCCCGATAGTTTGATTGTGTCGGGCATTCTTGATGACGAAGTCGACCTGGGTGGTGTGCCCTGCATTGTCGCTTTCCAAGTGGATGTCGGCGGAGATCGAGTCTCCGGGTTTGACGTCGAATGCTGTGCTGTTGGCAATAACGCTCAAGTCAGGCAAGATGTCGTAGAAGGCATTGTAAGTTGTGACCGAGCTGCCGTTAGTGCCCTTGCCAGTTGAAGCGCGGACACCGATGCGAATCAAGGAGCTGTTGCCTGGGTTCTTGAAATCCTTGTTGGCGTCCATTCCCAGGCCTGTCCAGATATGTGCAGTGTACATCCCATCACCGTTGGCGGATGCTGGGACCTTTACTTCGGGGACTGTGAATGAGGCTTCAATGGTGGTGAAGGGGTTCTTCTGTTCCGACAAGAGCAGGACTCCAGCGGCGTCGTCGCTGACAGTTGGCTGAGGGGCGCGCTTGGTGGGTGCAGCCATGGCTGATGTGGCAAGGATTGCTGCGGTGAAGATGGTGAACATCATATTGATTGAGTTTGGTGGAGTGTGAGTGTAGTTGTGGTGGAGTTGTTTGTTGTGAGGAAAGAAAGTGTATTAATCGAGAAGAGATGCCCTAATTTATACACTTAATCTAGACGTTGTTTTCTATACGATCTTGCTGTTTCTCCGCTCTTTCCGGCGACAACTTGTTGTAAAAAGTTGTTGAGGAACTATTAACATAGTAATCATATAAAACCACCCCTTTTCCTCCATTGTTCCGCCTTATCAGCATTGTTCTCAGCATTTTTCGTAATAGAGTAATTAACCTCTTTATTTTGTCTTCTTTGTCCGAATAGTATTTAACCAGCTTTGTCTCTTTGTGTTCTTGGGGGATGGTCGTAGCCTTTGGTGGAAGCAGCGCTAGTGACAATACTTTGCCCTTAATCGAAGATTACGGAGACCGATGATTGGTCGGGAGAGGAATTAAAAGTCCTCTAACGAAACCACTCTTTTATTTATTACGCTTCGAAGAACCCATCATTTACGTTTCGTACCGGTAGCAGACATCATTTCCGACAAGCACTAGTTTTTGTTTCTTTACTCGCATTAAAAGCCATGTTGATATGGCTTACTACCGACGAATTACCCCATGTTCTCATAGTATTAATGCCATGCTAAAGACTGAACATTCATGACTTCTAATGAATGCCGGGCTCATTTTTCATGGACGTCTTAGCCAACCGCAAGCAAAGTCACGCAAGGTGACTTGATCTGTCTGAAATGTCTAATTTTATGATAACTTATCCGGAAGTGATTTTAGTTTCCGGAAAATACATATGATAACTTATAAAGATCTAATAAAGAAGGTGAAAGCCGTGGATATACAGCCATAGACCCAAGCGTTATGCCAGGCATGTGACGCAACACGTGATAAGCCTCCTCAAGCTCATAATCCTGACCCTAACACTTCCTCTACTGACTTCCAGCGAGTTGCTGAGGAAAGAAACCGACATAAAAGTCCTTCTTACCTAGCGGCACCCCCTCTTTACGCAGAATCCCATATGCAGTTACAAGATGGAAGTAAATATTCGGCAAGGCAATCCTATGAGCATACGCAGCGCCGCTCATCTCAATCGTCTTTCCAGGGCCAACCTGAGTGGTCCCCAAAATATCGCTATGTTGATTTACGACGTCCTTATCAGCATCGTTGAGCCTCTTCAGCACTGTCTCAATGCGCTCGTAGCATTCGGCAAATGTCGTAGGTTTGCCTTCAAAAGTCAACGGCTCCCGACCCGTTAGTCTTGCGACTATATTCTCCGAGAATTGCGATGCGATGCGCACTTGATCGGTCAATGCGTACATATCCTCGTGCAACCGGGCCTCGAGCAGAGTGCTAGCATTGGGATGTTGCTCGGCTTGGTGGAGGATATTAGACAAGGATCTGATGATACTTTCGACCACCGCAATGGTCCCGTCGTAAAAAGTATAAACCATGGTTTGCAGCGAGAGGTTTGATGGAACTCGAATTTTGGTAAGGACAAGCAGATATGAGTGAAAGAATTTTCTAGCTGGAGTGGGGGGGAGAATTTATAGTACTATGCTGATGTAAGCAACTGTTTATCAAAGCTGCTATGAATAAATATATGCAAGCCGCAATAAACAGGCTAGTTACTCTACGGGACAAAAATATATAAGAATACAACCAAGATTATGATCAAAATATAAAACATGTCAAGTTGAAAGTGCGCATTCATTTATAATTCTTATTAGAAGTATGCAAAATAGATCAGTATAGAGTATGATAGACGTAGTTTTAGGTACAATCCGTTATATTACTATTAGGCTAAAACAGGAAGTAAGAACTGAACTGTAGTAAAGAGTAGATATGTATGGTCCATGTTATGCTTAGTAAGCAGTGCGAGAGGAGGTTTAGTTGAACCGGATTAGGGTTAGCGATATGATATTTTGCACCTTTTAATAATTTTAAGTCTGCGAAACTGTGATCTAGAATTACTATGAAGTTCCTAAGCAGTCAAATATATCTTCACCATTCTAATTTCTTATCCCCACTACCGCCCACACAACTGTTCGTTTTCTCAGCTGCACTGTTCCAGTTATAGACACCTCCTCTATTGTGAAATTCTTCCTGGTCCCACCGAACCTGCTTGATAGCCTTCTGTACCCCAACTTCCAAGATGGAATCCGATACTTTCTCGTCTCCATCTCCTTTGTCAAGGAAGCGCATGTACTCATCAACAAGCTAAAAGGGTCATTGTCAGCAGTGAAGAAACTGTATGATGTGATAGGCGACTGACTAGATAGCTGCTCTTCATGGATTTGTTTGGCTCCGGAATCATGCACTTTAGATGTTTGTGTCGACTACAGAAATCTTCGTACTGCGCATCGGTGATAAGAAAATCCCTTGCATTTCTCTTTCGTGCATCATTTTCATTCTCGCCAACTACGACAAGGACTTGGAAGACTTTCCATCGGAATGGATCGAGCTTCTGCACCATGTCTGCCATAGTCTCTTCCCAGTTCAGCGAACAGACGACCTATAATAATATATGATCAGCATTTTATTATGATTTATAGAACGGAAAGGACAAGAAGGTAACATGGGCAGTATTCCGTGGGGCGCAATGGAGGTTGTTCAGGGGAATTGAATCTCCAAATACTCGTAATTATTACTTACAGTGTTGAGCTTAAACCTGATCCCGCATTGTTGACACCACTCCTTAATCTGAAACAGGCTTTTCACATTGTCAAATGCCTCCCCAGAACCACGGTCCTTACGCCCAATAGCCTTATTAGTTTCAGGATTCGTCGAATCGCAAGAAATAGCCAAGATGTCGACCGCAGACCCATATTCCTTAAGCCACTTTTCAGTGACTTTGGTCCCATTGCTGACAATGCTGACACTTTCAAGTCCCAGATCATCTTTGCAATATCGGCATAACGCACCCAGGTACTTCGGATAAAGGAAAGGCTCTCCGCCTGCAAAGTTGATTTTCTTCATGCCAGCCTCGGCTAGTAGGCGGAGGCCGTTCTCAGCTTCCGAGAGAGGGAGCTTGTAACTCGATGTTTCGGTGTGGAAACAAAACTTGCAGTCGGCATTGCAGTGGCGCGTGAAAACATAGTTGACGCTGACGGGGACTATCTCGTCCTCCTTGGGGGGACTGGTGAGAGTAGAAAGAGATCGAGAGTGATTGGTGTACCGGTATGCGTAGATGATAAGCAGTAGGGTTACTACCAAGACTAGTAATGCAAGATAGGCCATATTGGAGGACGCTTTCAGCTTGACGTGGCAGGAACAAATTTAGGGACGAAATGAGATGAGGGGTTCAAATACAAGAACACTTATGGATTCTGCCTGTCACAGCTCACACCAAGGAACCAAAGAAAGGTCAATGTGAGGCGAAGATATGTTAGTTTTAAGCTCTCAAAGACGAGAATAATAAGCTAAAGAGGGAAAAGGGAAATGGGAAGCAGGCCCTTCATATACTAGCTAATTCACATGAACTTAAACAGGGAAACTTAGTATGGCTCATGACCTGACCGGTAAAACGTAGCGCCTGTGAATGGCGAAAGGTGCCTTTGATTGCTGTTTGTTTTGCTTTCACGGCTTTCGCGGATGTTGTTTGCCGTTTGAACACGAAGCAGAGCGGTGAGGGATGACTCATCTGCACCACCGGAGAAGCCCCACTACAAACGCTTACATACGTGCGCTTACATACACGCTCCATACCTAATTTCAACGGCTCAAGCCATAAAACTTCACACATTACGCAGCAGTTAGGGAGAATAAATGATGACGTGATAATGGCTGGCAAGCCATTCGTTATCTTCGTTCTGGGTAGCTAAACTCCTTCCCTTGAACAAAACATTCTCGGCTAACCTTATTTCCAGGACCCCCAGCATCTGGAAAGGGGACCCTATGCAAACGCCTTGCAGAAGATCACAACCTGTATCATCTCTCTGCCGGAGACTACCTCCGCTACCTAATCAACGGCCCCTTGGCCGGTCAACCAGACATCGTCGATGCCGTAAGATATGGTGGTACACGAGGTTTAGTACGCGGAGACGTCATCGTTTCGCTCTTGATCGAGAAGATCAAAGAGGAAATGAGTAAAGGGGAATCAGCGTTTCTTCTCGATGGGTTTCCTCGGAATCTGGAACAAGATAAGGCTTTTAGGGAGAGAATGAGGTCTGATTTCGACGTGAGTCTCACTAGCGTCATTCAAATACCCATATTTATTTTCAGACAGATCGACACACCTGACTTGACCATCTCAATATCTTGTCCAAAGGAAGTTGCTAGAGCAAGGTACCTCAATCGAAAAAGGGGCGATGACAGTGAAGATTTGTTCAATAAGAGATATTCCGATTATCAGGAACGGGATACACAAGTGGTTGAGCTATATAGGAAAGGCTTAATCGAGGTCAGTTATTCTAGTATTTTTTATCTTTGGTTGAGATTAATTTATGCCTTTCAGGTCACCGCAGATGGAAGCCTGAGCATTGGCCAGTCATATCTGGAGATGGTTAAGACTTTGTCCGGTGAAGGAGCGTGGACAAACCTTACATCCGCTGCGCAAAATTAGACAGCTTGATATCCCAGAATTGAACACAGGATTTTGTTGCTGCAGCAATAGATCTCAACATCTAGTCCGGGCAGATTGAACAATGATTTTTAGCATTCTCTGAGCTTCTCGCAGCCTCGTTGTAATTTCTGAGGCGATATCAAAGCTGACGTTTGTTCTGCCCCTTTGAGTTCAAAGTTGGCCGTTGAAGTCTATTATGCAAATTGTTGACAAGACGCGACCAATCGAAGAAGATCAACAACCTGCCTAGCTTTGGCTTTAGTCTCAAAAAACTACAAGCGTAGTTGTCATAGCTCTATGGTTCAACCGAATCCACAAGTCCTTTGACTTGATCCCATAGTTTGGAAATATTGCTGGCGGGCACTGGACATGATTATTCCTTCAAGCATCTAACTCCGGGTAACCACACTGGCGAGAAGGAGGCCTCATTACATTCATAGTATAATTTCGTCATAGATACTCCTAGCTCGAATTTCCCGGCCCAAACTAACCAGCTATCGCTCTGTTTACTTGCGTTCCTCTGGGTAGACACAGCATCTCATTATAGGAGATTTTTGCACTGGCTAAGCAAAGTCCTTAGGCGTACAAGAACATACTAGAGCTGAATTCCAGAAGACTAAATGAAGTACGAATAAAAGAGCATGAGAACAAGAGAAACATAAGAGCAACGCAAAACTCCTAAACCTTGGAAGAAACAGAAAGGTTCATGCTTGGAAGTTTCCAAGGAAGAAAACAGTTTTGTTAATGGGAATACAGCTGGACTGAATAATGATGGCTTGTAATCTGCCGGATTAATCAAGTTCTGTGTCATAGACCATGCAATCTGAGCCCGGCGTATCTAGGCACCTCCATATCATCGTCGTTTCCGCGCCCCCACCAACCCCAGCTCCATTGATAAGCTTCTACTGAGAATTTGCTGAACTTGCCAAGATATCAGGAAAGATTTGACGTACGTCAACTTGCAAACAATCTCATGGCGTATGTCTCAAGAAATTTGACATTCCGGTGTTCCGTCTCAGTTATCACGGAAGTTATCCGTATCAACGACTAAGTAGCCGCCGCTTTCCCCGGCATCCAAAACCCCATGTCGGCATTGCAGGAGGATTGCAGGGATTAGTCTTGAAGTGCAACGGGAAGATATCAACTTCCAGTCAAAATGGCTGCTACTATTTGAGGAAAAATTCAAGCGGGAGAGATATAGGAAAAGAAAGTTGATTATGGGGTAGCATTGTGGGGTTGCATTAGTTATGTTGCCATTGCTCTTCGTCGTGGCGTTACGTATAGCACATTCGTACCCCACTACAGTAAAGCATGATTGCCCGCAGATTGAAAAAGCTTATTTCTTCTGATTAGAGGGGTTCTTGGCATTATGATAAGTCCGTAGGTTCGATTTACCCCGGCATAAAATAAAGATGCGGAAATATGAATTTCCACGACAAGGGGTTATTTAGTGGGCTTGTCTGTGATGGTCACCGGGGGTTATTACCGTAGCCCAATTGCTTAGTAATGTCACGCCTGACAGCGATCTGCAAACCAAGAACTGTTTTCGTGCGTATAAGCTTGATTTTGGCGAAGCTCTCCCTGTTAACTCAATCCTTATCTGCATGATAAATATGGTGGTTGAGATACGATTCAAGTCCTCAGCACATGACCTCCAGGATGCGTAATGATCAGCACATATTCATCGGAAGCATTTTCTGAATTAGGCAGGTTGCAAAACAAATTATACTAAAGCCTCGCGGCAACGATACATTGATTCCATAGAACTATTATAGCCTGAGTTCGACCGAGAAGTGGATGGTAGCCTGTAGAGAAACATTGTAAGACAAACTTCCTTTCGCTTCAAAGGAGCAGCACATCACACATTCCTCTTTCAGTCTCCGCCTCACTGCCTCAGGGCCATGTTCGAATGGGAGAGATCATTTGCAAATGTCACGGTTATCTGCGGAAGCGTACCTCCGTATGAGTAGTGTATAACAAGAATATTGAAAATGTATAAAGTCCTATGGAAATACCTTCAATTTGAAGAGTTCGTCGTCAACACATACTCCTCAGTCCACCGTTCAGATTCTCACCTCGCTGACAACCCTTGGTATACTTGTTATCTACTTTTATTCAACTTAGTTGACTACTTCATCATAAATATTTCAAGATGAAGTTCCTCACTTCCGCCGCAAGTGTACTTTTGATGGTCAATGTCACCTTCGCGGCCAATCTCGCTGCTCGCAAGCAAGCGGCTAGAGAGGCAATCCGTGCTAGGAATGCTCTCCGTCGCACCAGTGTATTCAAAGGAAGCTCTGATGTCACTATTGTCAATGGAACTGCCGCTGTAGAGTCTTCTAACTGGGCAGGTGCCGCTATCACTGGTTCAGGAATCACCGAGGTCTCTGGTACTTTCACAGTCCCTAAGCCCACCGTTCCATCTGGTGGCAGTTCTAGCACGGAGTATTGTGGTGCTGCGTGGGTAGGAATCGATGGCTACTCGAATTCCGATCTCATTCAGACTGGTGTCCTCTGGTGTATTGAAGACGGGTCGTATGATTACGAGGCTTGTAAGCTACATTCTCTTAGAAAAGGCCCCGTTTGCTATGCCAGCTTTAGAGCTAAGAGTTATATCAAGAGCTAAAGAAACCTACTTCGAAAAATGTGGGATCCTGGCTCCTGAGATAGCTCCCGATTTCTTACCTACCTCGACAGATTTGATTTTATATCATACTAATTCGTTGCCTAGGGTATGAGTACCTCCCTGCTTCGTTGGTTGATTACTCGGGAATTTCAGTGACTTCTGGATCAGTTGTTACTGTTACAGCCACAAAGACTGGCACCAACAGTGGAGTTACTACATTGAAGAGTGGTGGAACGACTGTATCCCACACTTTCACTGGAGAAAGCTCATCCCTCCCCGGTACGAGTGCTGAATGGATTGTTGAGGACTTTCTCTCCGGCGGCTCAGAAGTTCCATTTGCTGACTTTGGAACTGTTACCTTTACTGGAGCAACCGCGGTTGTAAACGGAGCCACCGTTACAGCTGGTGGCGACAGTGCAGTTAATATTTATCTGGAGGAGAGCGGAAAAGTTCTTACGTCAACCACAATCTCTGGTAGCACGGTGACCGTTACTTACAAATAGATCTGGCGAAATTTAATCTTCTCCAATGTTCGCGCGGAAAACTTTGAACATTGGTCAAGGATGAAGATTCGGATACTATTTGTTCTAGATAGGCTTTTTCAGAATTGATAATAAGACGCTGCAGGATTGAACTCAAGATCAAGAATGTTTTCTACTATGCAAAGACGTTGTGTCGATTGTGACTTTCTTGCGGTTGGATGCTAAGGAATAACGATGCTATATTCCCGCAGTATGTGGGACCTATGAGAGGTTGATTTCCTTCAATTAAAGCATTTGCTTTTCATCACGCATGTCTATTTAATAACAGCTCTATTATTGCCTGGGTATGTTTTAAAGGGGTAGAGTCTAAATTCTCGCCTAATTTTACCGACGTACTCCATCATAATTAACAAGGACAATTGACTTAGTGTCTGTCTTCTGCGCTATTATATTATACTTGCTAGTCGCACTCAGTTTTGGTATCAGGTGCTATATAACAGCTATACATCGTGTCCTATTTGAAGTGCTAGCACCTGCAGGGATCATCCTATTCGCAATTACAACTTCTGTGTTGTCGCGTGTTATATATTCAAATAATTCTAAAGTTATCACATACGACCACAGACTGAGGAGAATTGGGCATCCCGTCCGCTCTGCCATACACAAGCCTCAGATCGGCAGATTAGTAGTTGGGTGGGTGACCACCAGCGAATACCTGCTGTTGTATGTTTTTTTGCTGATTTTTTTCATTTTGCCCCACTTAGTCCCTTTTAAAACTACACGGACTTCCTGAGTCAATAGTATCTGATAGAGGCACCTTGTTTGTCTCGGAGTTTTGGAAAGCTGTATGCCATCGTCTGCAAATGCGGATCGACCTTTCCACCGCATACCACTATGAAACCGACGGCCAGACCGAGAATGCCAACTCGTTCATGTCACAATATCTCAGGCAATACATCAACTTCGCTCAGGATGATTGCACGCAATGTCTTTAATAGTTCTACTAGACTGTCCCCATTTTTTTGCGAATACTTGTTACCACCCACGGATGAGCTTTGGACCTCGTCCGACTACAGCAACAATGTCTAGAGAGTTAAAAGCACGCAATAAAGAGGGTACCGACTTTGCCACAAAGGTGCAGGAGATTACGGACCTACTCCGTACAACTATGCTTTTAGCACAGGACCCACAGAGGAGGTTCCCAGATGTGAACAGAGAACCAGCCCCGGCCTACCATATTGGGGATATGACAATCCTCAGCACACGCAACGTCGACTTCGCTAGACCTACAAAGAAATTCGACCATAAGTTCCTCGGCCCTTTCCGCGTTGAAGAAGTAGTGGACTCGAGTTCATACAGACTCAAACTACCACCCGAGTTGGAATTAATCCATGATACTTTCCATACCTCCAATTCACGCCCGACACCCCAAGCCCCTCTCTCAGGAAAATTCAACCCACCACCACCTATTGCCCTTGATGCACAGGGTCAAGTGTTATATTCCGTGGAAAATATCTTAAAATCTAAAAGAACGAAAAAAGAAGGCTTCTAGTAAGTCCCCCCCCCCCCCCCCTTTCCGGCCACCTGTTTACACCTAAAAACGTGATTTGCAGGGGTATATAACTCTATTAATAATTAATAATAAAAT